ATGTACGAATCTTGGGGTAAGATTTGGACATGAATTTCGACTAAAAAATCGGTGTTCAGATTTGAATGCCAGATTAATCTAGAGGGAAAACCGTGAAGAAAAAGCCCAACCTCATAAAAATCGGATGAGATTTGGCCGAGTTATAGGGGTGGGAAATTTTGACCCATGTCTATGTACGAATCTTGGGGCAAGATTTGGACATGAATTTCGACTAAAAAATCGGTGTTCAGATTTGAATGCCAGATTAATCTAGAGGGAAAACCGTGAAGAAAATGCCCAACCTCGTAAAAATCGGATGAGATTTGGCCGAGTTATAGGGGTAGGAAATTTCGACCCATGTCTATGTACGAATCTTGGGGTAAGATTTGGACATGAATTTCGACTAAAAAATCGGTGTTCAGATTTGAATGCAAGATAAATCTAGAGGGAAAACTATGAAGAAAAAGCCAAACCTCCTAAAAATCAGATGAGATTTGGCCGAGTTATAGGGGTAGGAAATTTTGACCCATGGTAGCCTTCTATGTGCGCCTATATACACGACTACATATATGCAATATAATATATTCCCAGGTAATTGTTTATCGCACTGAGCACGAATATCATCATCAAATACCGCTAGCCACGCCCGACACTTTTACGGATGGCACTTCGGCGCGCACTCAGCGCTCCGAGGATGAGCGCACCTCACGCGGCGCCGAATCGCTGATCCTCGATGTACACGCCAAGCCGGAGCTGCAGAGCAAAGGCTCTGCGCCAAGAACTCAGCTCGAAGAGAAGTTTGTCATCGATATGCTGGAGAGCGATGGGTGAGTACGGGTCGCATTAGGTCTCAGGTGGCCAAATTGTTGCTTAGGTGTGCGCTCTGCTTACCCCACTGTAGCTATGCCGTGGTGCGCAAGGAGCCGGTGCCAAAGCCGACGCCTCCCGCGCGCCGTAAGAAGTTCACGCGCTCGCCGGGCGAACGTTTTGCCACGTTGCCCAGCATACGCGGCTCGCGTGGCTCTCCGCCGCCGGCACGCCCACCGCCGCCGCAGGAGTACACGCCCAGCGAGGACTCGCCACTGCCGCCCCGTCGCAGATCGGCCGCCAGTTTGGAGGAGATGTCCGCTGGCCTGCTGCTCAAGTCAAAGTAAGAACAGCCACGCCCGCCGCTTGCGTTGAAAGTTTTTTCTTTCGATTTCAGTTTTTTTGATTTGTGACTTTTTGCGACCTTTTGAATTGTCTCGAATGCATTTTTGTTAAGTTTTGTTTTTGTTGTTAAGTTGTAGGCTTAAGCGTCATAAGCTAAGACCCAGTTTTTAATGCTAAATACTGCTCCTAAAACCTAGATACACCCAATACACACACACGCACACATAGACACTAATAAAACCGAAACATGAAACACAACGCACTCACACGAGTTTGACCAGCTTTTATTTTCCTTCTGTTCGATTGCCGCTTGCCCAGAGTGCAGACCAAGCGTTTCTAATGCTCCTTAAACCCTATTCCCTAGTTACGCGACACTGCCGTCCGCACAGCCGGATCGGGAGCAGCAGCCGCAAAAGGAGGAGGAGGATGATTATGAGGAGCCGGGAGCACTGCAGCGACCAGAATCGCCGCGCAACAATCTGCAGTCCGGCGAGGTCATCAACAAAATGAAGTTCCGACCGTTGCCAGCGCCGCCACGCCCACCGCGCGAAAAGCGTGCGACACGTGGCGGCAGCGGCTTGGATAGCTACGAGGACAGCGAGCGCGTGGCCAGCTCCTCCACGGCAGACAGCTGCGAGCAGGGCGAGTTCGAAGTGGAGGTATCAACACAAACGGATCCACTGCCCGATGATTTCGTGTGCGAGGAGTTTGAGATAACCGAGGACATGAAGGTCATAGAGCCACGTCGCTCCACAGGCGGCAAGACAACGTTGGAGGATCTGCTGCGCAGCACGCAGGCCCAGGAGCCAGATGAGGTGAACAGCTCACGTGTGCTCACCGAGGATGAGCAGCTAGCTAGGGGACTGCAACGTTTCCGCGATGCTAACCAACGCAGCCTGTCGGAACGTTCACGTGCATCCTCTCAAGCGGATCGCTCAAAGTCGCTGAGTCGCCCGCAGACTCCGTCCTCAGCGGTAATCATAGAGCGACGCGTACCGACACCAAGTATCGAGGGAGATGCCACGGTGCAAGCGGCGCTCATTGTGCGGCCCATAAGCGCCGCCGATCTGGAGGATGAGGAACTGCGCCGCGAGGAGGAGGAGCTGAGGCGTGAGGGCCTGCTGTCCGATAGCTCAGTGCAAAGCAAGTCCGATGTGGAAACGGCCGGTGAGGAGGAGGAGCATGGCGAGGTTGCTCTCAGCGATTACGCAGCCAGTTCGGCGGATTTGGATGCAGCCGTGGAGCAGCTGCAGCAGGCGCAGCTAGAGAGTGACTACGACAGCAAGCTGGAGGATGATGAAGTCGAGCGTACGCTACGAGAGAGTGAGTACGATGAAGAGGATGAAGACGCTGGCGAGAAGTACTCGGACCACTACGACGAGGAAGAAGGCTCGCAAGGTAAACAAGAATCTACCGAACAGGAGCTTGATGAAGAGCTGGAGAAAGAGCTGCAAGAGGAAATGGAAAAAATGCTGGCAGAGTATCGCCAAGCTGAGATTAGGGAATCGAGAGCAAAGGCGCTCGCAGAAGAGCTGCCAACATCCGAAGAAGATCATATACCTTCCGAAGAGGACATATTGTCTGATACGGAACAGGTGCTATCCGAAGTGGAGCAGGTACTATCCGAAGCGCAGCACGCACTATCCGAATTGGAACCTGCACTATCCAAAGTGGAGCACGCCCTATCCGAAGGGAAACCGCCGCAAGCCGAAAAAATCGCAGTGGAAGAGGTGACCATAAGAAGAGCCGTTGCGCACGAACCCACAGAGGCCGAAGTTGATGCCAAATTCGTAGCCACTTTACCCACCGAGCCTGCTACTGGCCACAGCCAGGAGTTGCTGGCGACAGAGGAAGAACCAGAGGCGACACCCTTGCCGCCACCACGTCGTAAGTCCACCACACAACTAGAACCGGCTTCCAGCGAAACATTGACCATCGCAGAGCAGATCACACCCGAGCTGACACCCATTCGGGCGCTGCAATCCCCACCAGAAGCGCAGCTGCCGACCCACTTGCCGGAATTGGAGGTGGAACGGCTGCGGGTGCATGCACTACAGGCTGGACAGATTCAAGTCTCGCAGCTGCATGGCACGCAAGTCAGCGCCGATGAGCTGGCCTGCAAATCGGGTCAATTGGTTGTGCAGAACATAAATCTGCCACCAGGTTTCATTGATGACATTGTGGAGCGCGTCAAGGAGCAGCGCCCATCTCTGCTGACCAGCGAGACGCAGACGAGCCGTCAGCCCAGCAGTGAACCCACCGCTAGCGATGTGGAGAAACCCACCAAACCACCACGCCATGGCAAAGCCGCTGAGTCAACGACTGCAACAACGCAAAGCAATCTCGACGAACAAACGCAGACAGAAGCTGCCATGCTGCCATTGCCCCCACCACCAGCTGTGTATCCCAGCGTGGAGTATTTGCAATCCCTGGCTCCTTTAGCCTTTTACAATTTGCAACGCAGTGCCGAAGCGGAGCAGGCGGAAGCTGCGTCTGGAAGTGCGGAGCGCAAGGCGCCGCATAAATGCCGACGTCGCCACGTCCAGCAGGAGCAGCATCAGCAGGAGCATGACACCGACTCAGAGCTTGATGAACAGCTGGTGGAACGGCCACGTTCTCGATCCCGTCGTTCGCGCACGCGCAGCGCTACACAGCCGCTAGAGGATTATGACGAAGATCAGCCCAAGACAGTGGTGCAGGCGGGTCGACAGTTTCTCTCCGTTTGCAGCCTGGAGCTCGTTAACATTATCAATCAGCTTACCCACTTTGTGCGCGGCGATGTGGGAGTGGAACCCGCACAACAGCCTAGAAATATATCTGCGCTCATGGTGCTCTTTATATTGATAACTTTTGGTGTGCTCGTCTTTCTACTGACGGGCCGACAGGTGCACACACATCACTGGGACTACTTCAATCCGCCTGGCAACGAAGGCCGGCAAACGTGAAAAGAGCTCCCCAAACTTTGGACTTTTGTTGCTTGGCATTTGTATGCCAAACGATACTTGGGCAATTTTGCATTTTGGAGCATGAAACGAATTTAGAAAGCGGCCAAAAGCGACCGCTCGAAACCAAAGGCCTTAACCTTAATGATATATTCTACATACTAACAAAAAATACTTTAGGAAGGAAGCAAGGTGGGCGAGAGGCGTTGCCTATGCTACTCTACTACTAGTCGCAGTTTAACAACTAATCAATCGAACAACAACAGTCAATCAATCCCTGTTCAAACATCATCAAACAGTGCAACAACATACCGACTTATATAGAACATACACATATATCTCATACTAACCAAACAATTCAACTAAAATATCATATTTTTTTTACAATACTACCAACAACAGCAACAATAACAACAACAACGATCATGTATTAAATATGTACTTAAACTAAGTGAAAAATCATTATCAGCTACCTGATATGGTGAGCGGTCCAAGACGGGCTCAAGTTTGTTGGCGGACACACAGTCTACTTATTTATGCTAATATTACAATTTTGTTCGTTCATTTTTCTACTTTTGCAACACAAAGTGAAGAAATTCATTTGTTCAATGCTTAAAAAAATCTATTGTTGGTTTTTATTTAAACCTGATTTTAGGTAAAATATATTAAAGATGAATCGTTAAACTTCTCATGAATTCATAAAAGCAAGATATCTTCGATTTAGTCGTAATAAATTTGAACCGCGAATACTTAGCAAGAGGGTGACCTTATGTAAGTACATTATATATACTTATAGACGTGTATTTTCAATAAAGCAAGAAACTATTTAAAAATGATGTGTGTGTGTTATGAAGGGGTAAATGAACTTATGACTTACCTAATTGTAAAGTGAAATGATAGAAATGATGAGGCAAAAGTAACTTAAATACGCATGCGACTAATCTAAATGGGTTTACATTAGGAAATCATCATTATATTGAACCATTTGGCGCAGGTCTTTGTGACTGCCCTTCTGCGATTTGCTGGCCGCTGAAAAAGAGAACAAATTGTCAATAAATTAAAGTAAAACTTATAATTAATATTAATAAAATTGTATACTATATATAAATTTACCAATAGACGACCAAACCGCTGAGGATGACGCATCGTTAATTGGTTCAATTTGCGGCTGGCGACGTGCCAGCTGCACTTGCAGGACAATGCCAGTGACGCTCTTGCCGTGCATTTCGGCTATAGCTCGATCAGCTGATTCCGGCTTGGCGAACGAAACAAAGCCTCGGCTGCAAAGCATATGAAGATATTTATATAAATATATTGACCAACAAATACAATTAAACCACGCACCTCTTTTCGATCTCCATCGAAACGTTGACTATGGTACCGTAATCATTAAACGTTTTCTTGAGGAATTCCTCGGTAACCTTGTTGCCCGACACGAAAATCGTGTTGCCAGCGCGCGGCTTCTCCGGCTGTGTCGTATCTAGCGTCACCTTCTCTGTCAGCCCACGCTCTTCGCGATCACGTTCCGTTGCAAAGTGCTGGTACAAATTCTGGCGGCGTGGCTCCTCTTTTATGATTTCACTGATAATGGTTTCCTGTGCCACATCGTTCTGTGTGGACGAGAATGGCTGGTACGCAGCAACGCTTGTTTCTGAAGTGGAGCGCTTGGCTCGCTCCTGGCCTTTGGGACGCTTAAATGAGGTCTGGTCCTGCTTGGTCTGTTGCTTTTGTATGGCTGGAATGGCGCCGCTTTTGATTAGCTTGCGAGCCACTTCCCGTGCATCACGCGCATCTGTGGGTCGCTTTAAGGTCAGAGCGCTCTCCGGCTCTTGTTTGGGCGCCTTGTGGGCTTGTAAAGCTTTTTTCTAAAAAATGAAAACATTTACAGTTATAAAGAATGTACTAAGAGACGCCGGCTTGGCCAGAGTGTCCACCTTTTTCTTCAGTTTTTGATATTTCGCTTGCAGCATATGTTCCTCTTCAGTTAGATTATTTGGAAAGTGTATATACACCATTGTGTGCAGTTTTCAGTCAATATGACTCACTATTCTTAGTTTATTTCGCAAATATTCTTAAATATCTTAAAACTTTGTGACTTTTCGACACTTTAGCACTCTAATGTTGCCAGACTACCGCAAATATATTTAACATATTAACGCTGCCAGACCATCACAATCATGTGTTGTGGCGACCATTAATATGTTAACATTATGTCATGTTATTGAAAATATTTTTTGGTGTAGTTTAACACTTCTTTCTTTTTTTGACGAGGAAAACTGAAATTATTCATTTTAATAAATCCTGCTGTATAATATTAGTTTCCTTAAACTTATTTTGGCAATGTGAAAATCAAACTATTCTGTTAAGCATATCAGAACTGTAAATAAAACGTATAACAGTGCTGTAAAATGAACTCAAATTGCAACCCTGTTCAGTGCACACTTTTCGCCATGTTGACGCGGAGTTGTCAAAAATTTTTCGTTCCTTCTCTTTCTTTCCGGTTAGCGTCATGGTAAGATCCCACCAAATATTTTCCTCATTTGGATGAAAAATGTGAAAATTAAAAGGTTTAAAGTGCGCATGCTGAATTAAGCAATGCAAATGATTTTCATGGAAGCCGCGTTTAGTTGCCGCTAACAAAAATAATCAAAAGTAATTGTGTTTGTGTCTGCATAGAATATTTCACGTGGTGACTATAAGTTCAGTTAGCAGGCGGCCAACGCGCTGTCCATGTGTACATACAAAATGAAAAGTTGAATTGTTATTTATATAAGCTCTTAATTCCGTGTACTTGCAGCCTTTCGAGAGATTCGTACAAACTGGTCGCATCGCCAAGGCCTCGGCAGGACCCCTGAAGGGTCGTCTGGTGGCCATTGTCGACGTCATTGACCAAAACAGAGTAAGTGGCTCCGCCTATGCAGGAGTAGCAGCAACAAGCATGTGTTCGCAGCACGCAGCAGATGCACATGATGATAATTTGTCTTCTTGATAGGAAGTGCCAACTGACACATAAATGAAGCTATTTTTTTTTAACTGAAAGAGCACTGTCTGCCCTAAGCGTTACACACTGGTTGTTGCTGTTCACCAAAGTAAATTAAATAGAACTAATCTATAATCACATATCAATTGCAGGTTTTGGTTGATGGTCCGCTGACTGGTGTTCCACGTCAGGAATACAGATTGAACAATCTGCATCTGACCAAATACCGCATCAAGTTCCCATACACGGCGCCCACACGCATTGTGCGCAAAGCCTGGGTTGACAGTGACCTGAAGGCACAGTGGAAGGTCAGCCCCTGGTCCGTCAAGGCACAGAACATCTGCAAGGTGAGCAAATATCGAGGGAACACTTCTTGTTTGAAGTGCTGCACATGATGATAATTGAAAGTTCTTGATAGGAATTGCCGGCTGATACATACATGAAGCTAGCTTTTGTTTTAACTGAAATCCCAGCCTAAAATCTGAACTTTGCAAATTGTTAATGTTTCTAGTTACTAAACATACATTTTTTTAATTATTACAGCGCTCGCAATTGAACGACTTTGATCGCTTCAAGCTGCGCTATGCCAAGCGCCAGCGCAACAAGCTGCTGACCATTGCCTTCAACACACTGAAGAAGCGCACCAAGTCCGATGGCACACCACGCATCCTCAAGAAGGATCGTCGCGAGCGTCTGCGCGCTGAGAAGGCCAAGGCCAAGAAGTAAACAACACATTTAATGAAAGTAACTGCTTGATGAACATCCAACACAAAGGAGCAAATAAAAGAAGTGTTATTTTTAGGAAAAACACACGCATCCCTATTTGTTTACTCTACCGCAGAAGTATTTCTAGTTTCAGTTTTCAACAGTTTTATTTGCTTTTATAAAACAAAACGCGTTTTTAGTTTGCAATTTTTGCAAACTTAAGCAACTAGCACCATTCCCTCAGGAGTCTTTGTTGCAGTAGATGGTCTTCCAATTGTTGGGATGATTATAGCCCAGAAGAATAGGTAGATGTAGAAACAGTGTGATGTGCTCGCCTTGTATTAACGTGGAGACCTTCACCCAGTTGCGTAGCCATTCGATCATCTGCTCGGCGTTCAGATTATCCGGATTGAGACCGCGCAGATAGCATGAGTAGCGCAACGCCGGCAGGCTTAGATTATGGACGCCACCTTCGCGCGTAATGGCTAAATCCATGTAGTGCACCAGGAATGCGTGCTCGTGCAAGCGATGCCGTTTGAACAGGCTATTGGGCAATCCATGCATCTTGACTAGACATTTCTACGAGGAAGATTTGGGTTTAAACAAACATTACGAGCTGCAAGCATATGTCACATACAATGTGTCTTCGAGACATGCCCAGCAGTGAGTAGGGTCCCTCGGCAAATATGTCCTTGACTGCGATCAGAGCCTCTGGCGTGGGATGTGTGCCGCTGCCCAGTTGACCTAGAATGCATTCGAACTCTGCATGCTTATGATGTCCCGCGACAGACTTCAGTTTGGCCTGCAGGCAGCGCAGCACAGATTTGTTGCATTGCAGTCTGCGTTTCATGAAATAGCTCGGAAACTCGATGCGCTGCTCTGGCGTCCAGAAGTGCGTCGTGAGAAATGTGCGTGGATAATAAAAGCTGAACAGGATTATGCACAATTATGTGTCCAACTGGGATAAACTCATCGACTTACACGAGCGGAAAGAAAGCGTAGCCTACCATGGGCAGTGAGCAGCCAATCAATGCCGGCGCCACTTTCATCATGTCGCGGGGCATTTGCATGTACAGCTCGAGTTCTTGGCGATTCAACGCCCGGATGCCTTGCGGCGAATCGTTGGCTATGCGCGCCACCTTAAGGAAACGCTTCATGTCCGCGAAAAAGTCTTTGACGCCATCGAAGAATGCTCGATAGAGCTGCATAGCCTTTGGAAAGTTCTTCTCCAGCACTTTGTCATAGTTTTTTACATAGTTGAAGTAGCGCGCGAAGATGTAATCCTGCATATCGTCCCGCATCTGCTCGCGCTTCGATTTCTGAGGCTCTCGATCCTTGTCCTTGTTTTTTTTATCCGGTGAATCGTCGCCGGGCGTAGATTCAGTGCGCGTTGATGTGTCTGATGTTGTTCCAGTCTTTGGCTGTGATCCTTTGGCTTTTTTTTCATCCCAGCCCGCCTCATAGATGACCTTGCCAACGCTGGTTATCTCAGCGGCTACATTACGCTTGATTTGTGGCGGAGTCGTGTCCATTGGCTTTGGAGCCGACATTTTGGGCTGTTCTTGTGTGCTGTAATTCGATTTCTGTCCGCTATCGCTGTTGTAAATGAGTTCTTAATGCCGGCTGATAATTGGCGTCGCCTTTGCCACCGCCGCCGCCGCCGCACTTACCTGCCGGGGAGCCGCGATGTGCTGCACAGTCGCACCAATCGACGGCGCTCCTGTGGCCACCTGCCCCAATGGCCCCTGCAGGCCACACGCAATGCCAACGCCATTATGCGACAATTCCAACCTTATACACCCACAAGCGCGCGTAATTACGCAACGACTGCAACTCCGATGCAGGAGCCAGCCTAGATTGTTTCGCTTAATTATTTTAATCTTTAACTTTTCTTCTTCTTTAGATGAGAGGCCGCTGCCAACTTCACGCGACACGAAACCGAAATAGATACATGTTGCTTCAAGAAAAATGTTGAGATACATGTTTCCGTGATGCCAATATGTTGTGCAAGCGTTGCCACTGGGTCTAAATGTTGTTGCATACTCTGCTGCATACTCTTAAGCGTTTTTAAACAAATTAAATAGCTGCAGCCATACAAGGGAGTATATTTGTCATTTGAACTAAAGTGTTTGCTTGCGCGCGCGAATTTGAAATTAGTGAGCATGTCGTCACAGGCTTCTTTGCAAACGCTCAGAGCACATAAGGAGGGGAGCTGCGCATGTCGCTACCTCGACCTTTGTTTCCGCATGCCTTTTTTGCTACATTTTTCTTCAGTTTACCCATAGAAGTGATAGGCATCAGTCGTTTGCACGCACTCAATGCTATTATTGTGCTCCATGTGCCAGAAACAATCCAAACAAAGTCGCGCAAAAAATGTTTTTAATCAAAACTATTAAATCGTTAAGGATTTAATTCGTGTTGGCTTCCATCACTTCCGCTAATTTGCAGGTATAAAACGGAAACGGAAATGTGCCTCAGATGTTGATAGGTATTAAAAACGATTTGACGCGCGAGTCCTACGCACGTGTGCGTGTGCCTGTGTGCCAGTGTATGTGTAAAGACCTTCAGCAAGAAATATGTAAGAAAGCTAAGCGCGTGTTCAACTTACTTTCACTTGTGCAAAAGCCGAGCAAAGAGCAAACAAATTGAACAGCCGTAGCATCCTTTACTGCGCCGCTCCACTGCGTAGGCGCTTTTCGCGTTAAGCTTTTCCCATTATCCAATTTACTTAGCTGTTGCGGCAAATGCGGCTTCTATCCAGTGTTAAGGGCACCATAGTTAGCCAGCCAGCTCTGGGCAGGTGTCAGTAACATTATTGACACTAGCACACATATAGCTTATTTATATTATGTATACGACGCAAAGGCCAGAACTTCAGCCAATTGCTTGCTTGTTTGCCTTGCAATTGAAGCTAACTCAAAGGTAAACTTGACATCGCTTTTCTAAGCGACCCTTACACAAATTGAAACAGCCAAAGACTATAAATATCACAAGCGACGCGGCGCGTGGCGGCTTTTTATACCCTGAACCCATTAAATATGAGAAGGAAGGCTATAATAGATTTGTGTAGTGGCAGAAAGAAGTATCATATATACTCTTAGTTATGAAGAGAAGCTGAGTAGATCAAGTCACGTCCATCTGAAGACTCATTGATCTTGGAAATAACAAAATTTGGAAGATATATGTATAAGGAATCTCACTTCATTCTCTTTTTTGAGACATTTACGCAAAACTCGAAAATTAAGAGAGTTCTCGTATGATAAATACAAATTAAGAAAATTTCACTTTTGGATAACTTCCTTTAATCGCCCAATAGCAAAAAAAAAAGAAGCCAGGGCAGCTAGGCGTTAGGTTCAGGGTATCTGCAAGTCGGGCACTCCCAACTAGAGCACACTTTTCTCCTTTGATGTTGTCTCAACGTATTTAGTTTTGCAAATTGTATTGCTTTAAGTGTGTGTCAGCAGAGCCATCCTTAAAATGTTCAGCCAACTTTAAGTACAAAACAAGCTTTTCAATTTATATACGAAATGAAAAGCTCGTAAAGTATTTGGATATTGAGAGCTGTATAGAATGTTTTTCACTTCCCTTTTTGACCAACATAGCAGAGAGGTGACAACGACACGAATGCTAAGTATGCCAATGCAAAGTTCAGCGTTGCAGAAGTTGGAAAAACTATTTGAAAAAGGACATGGCCCGAGCTATGCAAGCACCATGTCAATGTCTTGCGGCAACGAATTACTCAAACACGTACCTGGCTGCACAAAAACCAACAACAACAAACAAATGCCTGCTTTACAGTATGTGTGTGTGTTTTGACTCTGTATTTAACACAGCAGTAGCTGCATTTGGGTTTAAGGTGTTCGCCTCTAATGCCGCGGGTCTTGTTTTAATTAATGCGAATGTTTCCCTGCATTCAGAGCGTACGCGTGCAGCATACGACTCGTGGCACTGGCCAAAGGCTGCAACTGTGATGTCTAATTAGGATGTATGGGAAAACACATGTAATTATCTAGTTGAGAGTTGTGTATTTAGCAAACATGCTTGCTACGACTTTCAGGTGGAAAATCATCAAAACTGAACTGATTGTGGGCTGACCTCTAGATTGATGCTGCATTTGAAGTTGTCTCTAATTCAATATGATACTTTGGCAAGCATTAAGTAATTCATAGAAGAAGACATGGTTGAACCTATAGTGTAAATGCATATATTCTTAAACAGTGTCTATAGTCGATTAGAGAGGCTTTCAGTTTAAAAATAGGTCGTTCTATCTGTCATAATCGATCCAATAGATGACCATAGCTGCCATTGGACTTTTGCTTCTCAAGGTAAACTTGCTTTTACTTTACTTAAAAGTGAAAACTATTATCATGACATATAGCTTCCATTGGAACCATTACACTTGAGATTGAGAACTGTATGAGAAATGTTTTTATATTATTAGATCTTGATCCAAATTACATATGAACGAAATCCTATCAACATCGAAAGTCTATATCATGTAGTTCTTCACAATGAAATAGTGGAAAAAGAATATTGTGACAAGCTACCTTATTTACCCCCAATTATACCTGACCTACACAACATTCCGTGTCTCCCTGGGTAGGATCGTTCAAGCAGATACTAAGTAGTTGTGCCTGCCTCAAAACTGTTCTAGAATACTGGATATACTATATAGAGGAGCAGTTGTAATGCTTCACACGCGATTCGTTATGTACCGGAAAAATCAAGTATTAAATCAATAAATTGCATTCTTTTCTTTTGCACTTTTCAGAGGCGCCAAAAATATATATATACCCATATATAATATTTGCAATCTGACAGTGTTGACGTCTTGGCAAACAGCCCAATCACCTAAGCGGGGAAATGTAAACAACAACAGGATGAACAGCCGCAGGAGAAGAGATTGATGTGCATGCTGAAGCAGCTTCAAAGGGAAATACTAATATAAAGAAGGTGGAGGAGCCTCATCGATTTGACAAAATACATCGTTAGGCAAACAATTAAACGATGGCCATAAACGTTTGGGGCCTAAATCATTTTGCCATTAGCGCGATTGTGATTGCCAGCATGCAGTTATTGTTCTTCCTATTGAACGCGCTGCTGCACATGGACAAACTGTCGGACTTTGCCGGCGGCGTTAATTTCATTATCATCGCATTGCTCACCTTTTTTCTGGGCCAACTGGATCGCCCCTCCAAGGTAATGTGGCCGAATGGGTGGGTGCCAGGTGGTAAATGGGCTTTAAATTGGGCTGTAAATTAAACGGCGCGAAAGCCCATTGAATTACACCTGGGCGCGGGATTTGTCGGTTTCAGTTACTGACATTGAAAAGTGAAAATTTACACAATACGCACACAGACACACACAAACGCAGCGTGGAGTGCGAGTGCATGGGAAGCATCTGCAGTTGCGGCATGCTCGCTGGCAAATAACAAAAGGTTGCGCCCAACTGGCCCACAATTTGTTGTTGTTGTTGTTGTTGTTGTTGCTGCTGCTGTTGCTGTTGTTATTGTTTTGTGCCTCACTTGGTTGACCTTGTCTGGGGCAGGCGTCGGCCATGGCCCTTCGGCCAGTTGTTTGTCATTCTGTCTGCTAAATTGTTTGCGACTCTGGCCGTTAATGCGGCTAACTAAGTTACATATGTAGCAACATGTTATATTGTAAAACAAGACAAGATTATTTCTATTTTATGCGTATCACTCTGCATACGCTTCCGTTTAACCCCATTTGAATGTGCTTCATAAATATGAATATTCATTCAAGCCTCGCTCCATCCTTTCAGCATCATTCTATACTGTAGACTAAGATTGAGCTCACGTTTGAGAAAACCCTGCACTTTTTATAAAATCCACTCTGATTTATTCCATATGCCAACTGCCAATTGTGCCATAATAAATAAATGAAGTGCGTTGATACCTCCGGGAGTGGCGCTCATTTATCACGGAGTCAAAGCTCTGCCGGCAACTACCTAGGTCAATAGTGCAGCTTTTTCAATGGATGACCATCACCGAAGCGGTTTAGTGCAAAACAAAAAATATATATAAAATAATAAAAAAAAATCTTGGCGCAAGCTAACCAACAAAAGCAGAAGAAAAATAAATGAAAAACTGGATTCGGTGAACCGAGGATTAAAATTTTTATTGCAAATAGTGTTTGCAAAAAACAAGTAAAGAAAAAAAATTCTTTAGCACCCAAATCAATTTAGTGGGAAAACAAATTGGAAACAATTTCGCAGTAAATTCAGCGGGGATTTCCTTTGCCTCCATTTTTTTTTTAGCGCGTAACGCGCTTTCATGCGTTTTATGTGACTTAAAGTAATAATCATTTATAGTTATAATCATTTCTTATTTAAGTATAAAGGATTCGTTTTCTTTTATACGCTTACTGCACTTCTAATGCTATTACGCATTGCTCTTAAATATCACCTTTCTATGCGATTTTCATAAAACCAAGTGAGACATTCGATGGTTGTAAAGTGAAGTGTTTGTGGACAGATACTATTATAAATATCAACTGTATACAGGTTGACAGCTGGACAAGCACTCTCGACTAGACATTAGTTATAAGAGTTAACAAGTTTACATAGCTTTTATTAGCCAGTTTCCATCTATTTCTACAGGCCTACGAGAGTCGTCAGCTGATGGTAACTGCGTTCGTATGCCTTTGGGGCGCAAGGCTCTCTGCCTATTTGCTCTATCGTATCATCAAATTGGGTAGGGACAAGCAGTTCGAGGATACGCGTCGCAACGTCATACGCTATGCAGTGTTCTGGACATTTCAGGTGAGTCAACACCCAAAGGAAATGAATATCTGAGCAGCACGCGTGACAGCCATGGAACGTAATCAATGTATCTGCCAGCGCATGACATTTCCCCAGGTATTTTTCAAATATTACAATAGCTTGTCACCGTGGCTGGTCATGTATGTAAATGCCAATGTTGCCGCCGGGTTGTTTCCGGCTAAACGTTTGTGGATAGGGTAGACACAAAAACTACCGTGTGGGTGTGGGTGAGAGTGCGAGAGAATGTGACTGACAATCCTTCTACGTTTGTGGCGTGTCGCAGCGTTTTGATTGCCGGCACTTGTTAGCAAGCACTTGAAATCTGTCCACTTTTCATTTGAATGCAATCAATATGTGCTCTTGCAGGCTATTTGGGTGTATATCGTTTCGCTGCCTGTCATTATTATCAACTCGCGTCACACCCAGCCGCAGGCGAACAAGGGCATGTCAACGTTGGACTCCACTGGCACGGGCATGTTTATTGTCGGCTTGTTGGCCGAGACATATGCGGATCTGCAGAAGTTCTCCTTCCGCCAGGATCCGGCCAACCAGGGCAAATTTTGTAATGATGGTAAGTGCGAATAACAATTATGTGCTAGACAACTTAAATATGAGCCATAAACATTTAGGTCTTTGGGGCCTCTCCCGGCATCCCAACTATTTTGGCGAGGTTATCGTTTGGTGGGGCATCTTTGTCATATCGTTAAACGTGATCACCGGCCACGAATGGGTCGCTATAGCATCGCCCATCTTTACCACACTGATAATACTATTTCTTTCTGGCATACCGCTCCGCGAGCGTAGCGCTGATGAAAAGTACAAAAAGTAAGTTGACCATAAATGATTTTGCTAACCTTCTAGAGGGTATTATAATATTGTCTTGAAGTAGGAGACATCTGTAGTATTAACAGCCGCGTTGATATAGCCCTGTGCGTCTGAACTTCTGTCTGTTAACAAACTAGTCTCTTAGTCTTAAAGCGTTCGTCTGATACTTTGCATAGGTCTGTAGATCGGATCAAACCACTATATCATATAGCTGCCATGGGAATTGGTCGAAACTTGGATTTATGTATGGAAAACCAATTTGATTTAACAATATATCTGGACCAAGCTTGGCATTTATAAGTTTCGCTATGCTGCTTACATATACATATGTAAAATCTTATCAAAACTGGACCACTTTATCATGTAGCATATAGGTTTATCATAAAGCCATAGGAACGATCGGACAAACATAAAGTTCTTGGCCTAAAAACCTAGAAATCTTTAAGAAATTTGAGATTTACGAATTTTACCAAGCTCTATTCAAAGCAATTATTTAACTGTATCATAAGCTCTGCAGAAAGATATGAGCTTTGTTTTGAAACTTTTTCGATTTTCAAGATATATGCCAAGCTTCGCAACTACAAGCTTCACAGCAAGAAATTGCACTTCTAAGTCAATTCAATTTTATTATATATACTTAGCACCGGATAACATAAAAATTCCCGTTTATAGCCAAGTGGATTATCGCAAGTACAAGGCGACGACCTCACCGTTGATACCTGTGCCGCCGGCCGTTTACGAGGAGGTGCCACGCGCTCTCAAGTTTATACTGTGCTGCGAGTTTCCCATATATGATACACTGCGGCTGCACAACGATACCAGTCCCTATTCTCTGTCCATAGCGCGCTCCCACTCGCACATATAGCAGTCAGTGGCCCACTCCGGCAGCCAAAACGCCGGGGTGGGTCAACACACGCACTCGTCGCTTCAGTCGCAGCAACTGCACCGGGGTCACTGCTATGGAGCCGACGGCGGCCTGGCTGAGAGCCATCATAACTGTGGCGGCAGTTGCCGCAATGTGCACGTCAAGTCAAATCCCTATCAATGCGAGGCTGGCTATGGCAACTACGGTGGGCGTCACGTGGACGACGAGGATACGGACGATGGCAGCATATATGTGGCGGGTCAGTCGGGCATCAAGGCCAAGACGCACTACTTTCATGCCGTGCCGCATACGCTGGACTTGGATGAGCCGCACATTAAGCAGCCAACAAAATGCAGCTACCTGGCCGAGGAGGAGCTGGCCTCCGACTATGACGAGGATATTCCGCCCATCGACCTGAGCAAGGTCAATAGCGTTGAGAGTTTCAAGAATCGTGTGCAGACCGAAACCGAGCATTCCCTCAATGCCGAAGGAATGCCCGTGACCGTGACTACAATATTGTGATTGACATTTAAAGCTTTGTTCTGGCTCAAATCCGTGGGTATAAACGCTTTAAGTAGTTCTAAATGTGCTTAATTGTGTTGACACACACACACACATATATATATTTATTTATATATATGTATACCCATTATCAATATGCTTAAGTTAGATCTTTTCAGGGGTGCCAGAAAACGAGTGCCAAAAACTAGTGCATAACTATCTACAAAATGAGTGCGTTGCATCTCATAGATAACAAATATATATATTATGCTCAAAATTGATAACAAAAATGCGCCTCTTCTAAATGTCTTTAGAATGTTGCACTCTTTCAAACTTTATTAGCCACTTTGTTGATTGGTGAGAGTTCTATTCTTAAAAAAAGAAGATATATAGTATATATATAAAAAAGAAACCATTAATTACTTTATCTCAGCAATTTTCTAATCAATCGTAAGAAGAAGAACAAGCCCCACCAAAAAAAAAAGAAGATGTAAAAATGAGGAAGCAAGTCGAGCGATAAAAAACGGAAACATATCCCAAGCAAACCTACGTTAAATATTGTTTTTTTTTTTCTTACATATACAATACGAACTCTAAAGTACAAGAAAATTGTTAAATAATAATATGGGAAGCTGATTCATAAGCTGTATAATTTTATATGTGTACGATATAAAAATAGCTTAAATGCATCAAATGTATATAATAAAAGTATACGCGAATTTCTGTGTTTAATCTGTTTCATAATTAAATCTTAAAAACTTAATGCAGTATTATTAAATAAATAAAACATTGTACCTAATTATCTATTTAAAGAGCTATACAAATTAAAAAGCAAATGCTTAAAAAAAATAAAAATAAAAATCAAAAAGCTTTAATATCTATGGAATTATATATTTTTTAAATCAATTTGAAAGGTTTTTCCAGAAAGCTCTTGCGTAAAGTAGATATGCATATATATAGATATATACGTGAAAACACTTTGTTTGCATTTGAAAAGGGAAAAAAATAAAACTGGTTAAGTAGGTCCTGAAAAAGAGAACCGAGTAGGCCATGGAAATTCGACCGGCCCCTGGCTCCCATATCCCAAACCCAAAACCAAAAGTAAGTCAGTTCCTGTAAATGTATTGTAAAGTACATATCGGTAAAAAAAATTGTAGTTTTTAAAATTCAATGTATTTTTTCTAATCGTGAAAAAAAAAATATATATATTAGTTGCAAATATAAGTGTTAAAATTTCAAGTGAATCTCCAGTTCGAATCATTAAACTGAAACCCGAAAACTTCCTTTAAAAAAATGTTTGGTCTAACTCGTCGCGCCATCTTCCGTGTCAGTAATCAGCAGCTATGCCGCCAGTTCGCATCTCAAGCCATCAACCAGATGCTGATGCTTCAGCAGATGGACATCTGTGCTGATCAGCCATCTCGCGGTCTGATCCTCGGCGTCTATGCCGATGAAGAGGACAAAAACGATGCTGGCATTCTGACTGGACCTGGCTGGCGATACAACGTGCAGAAGACCAATGGCCGTCTGATTGAGGTGCTCCGTATGTCTGGACCCATGCCAAAGCGTGGTGAGGCTCGTCTCTTGTTTGCGGTTGAGCCGGAACGCATTCCCTACTATTCTGTCGTGGCCGTTGTTGGCCTGGGCAAAGAATGTTTGGGATACAATCCCTACGAGGTTCTGGATGAGCAAAAGGAAGCCATCCGCCGTTCAGTAGCCAAGGCCTGCCAGGTTCTGGCTGAACTAGACACAGATCGTATTGAAGTGGAGAACTGCGGACATGCCGAGTCTGCTGCCGAAGGTGCAGCCTTGGGAATTTGGGCCTACCAAGAAATGCGCGACCCCAAATCTCGCATTTCCATTCCCTCAATCGATTTGTACGCTGTCAAGGATGAGGTCTGCGATATTGAAGGCTGGCGTATTGGACTACAGAAAGCCGCTGCACAGAATCTGACCCGTCAACTGCAGGAGATGCCCTCCAACTTGCTAACCCCCACAGCATTTGCCCAGAATGTCGTCGAGGTTCTGTGTAAATCTGGTGTCAATGTGGAAGTCAAAGTAGAAGGCTGGGCCGAGAGTCAGTCAATGCACGCCTTCTTGGCGGTGGGCAAGGCTTCTTGTGAGCCACCGATCTTCCTAGAGCTGAGCTACTACGGAACCTGTGCCGAGGAACGTCCCATTGTGCTGGTCGGTCAGGGAATCACCTTTGATGCTGGCGGCCTGTGCCTGAAGAAACGCGGAGAGCTCTACCACATGCGTGGTGACATGACTGGAGCTGCTGTTGTTGTGGCGACCTGTCGTGCCGTAGCAGGACTGCGTTTGCCGGTACATAACCACGAACTTTAAATTAAAAATAATTTCTAAACGATCAATCCTTAGGTCAACATTCGCGGTCTCATCCCACTCTGCGAGAACGTCATTGGATGCAACTCGTTCCGTCCCGGCGACATGGTTAAATCCATGAATGGCAAGACTATCGAGGTCCAATGTACCGACCATGAGGATGTTCTGGTTCTTGCCGATGCTTTACTGTATGGTCAGAACTTCTGCCCCAAGTGCATCATTGATATTGGCACCTGCTCGGGCTATATGCGTCAGGCCTTGGACGAAGCTGCTTGCGGCGTCTTCACCAACTCTGAAATCCTCTGGCAACAGATCAAGCACGCCAGCATGCACACCGGAGATCGCGTCTGGCGCTTCCCATTGTGGAACTACTACAGCAAGGCTGTCCGCGCTGGACAGCGCAGTGATGTTCAGAACTACGGCATTGGACGTGGAGGCCGTCCCTGCAAGGCAGCTGCCTTCCTGCGTGAATTTGTGCCATGTGGCCAATGGATGCATATTGTGAGTAAACTTTACGCTGTGACTAGAATTCTTGCTCAATTTTCCCTTCAGGATGCCACTAATGTGATGGTAACAAACGGCTTGGACTTTGAATACTTGCGACGTGGCATGGCCGGCCGTCCTACCAGAACCCTGATCGAATTCATCGCTCAAACCATTTGCAAGGATACTGCACCAAAGATGGGAAAATAAATTTGTGTGTCGACAATGTAGCTGACCGTTATCCAAAACAATGCATTTAGGCGCAAAATGCAAGGAAGTGTCGTTTAAACCGATATGTTTATAAATTTCTGGTGAAAAAGTATTGTGACGAAGTTTCAAAATATTATGTTTAAAAGTCACTGGAATAAACAAAGCTTTTTCTCTACAAGAATTCATAGTTCAGTTTGAGAATATTGCAAGCCGTAGATATTTTCGTATGCAGGATGCGGGCTAAATTAAATCTCTACCCACTAGAACCAAATATTTTTTGTTGGGTATGTCCAATAGTTGGTCTCAAAGTTATTTTCGCTTTGTGGCTGACTAGGGTGCACAGTGGCACTTGTTTGGCCTCCACCGAGCTGTTATGCATTGTCACGTTCTGTGTCCTCAATATCCCAAGGGGTATGTTAAAATTGTGTAAGCTAAAGTTATGCCGACTGTGTCAAGGTCAATCAAATACATGATTATAATTGAATTAATTAATTGAAACTTAGAAGCGTCCAAGAAGTCACAGGTATGCAAAACGGGTACTGAACCAAACTGCGTTTCAATTTATTAAACCTTGATTTCGATAAGATGAATAAATAATAGTCAAACCTAAACTGATTTATATTAAATAAATTACTGTTGCAAAAATCATGTAAAATTTTGTTATTGTAAACAAAATCATGTTAAAATAATCTTTTTCATTTCTGATTATTGGAAACGCTATATTGCAAATTGAAAGGAATATGCTTAGGCAAGGCTCGAGCCCAAATCCGACTTCACAGAAGCTCAAACACTTTTAAGAAACTCATCCTCAGCCTTAACAGCATCTTCCGTGTCTTGTGTTTAAGTTTTGACCATATTCTTAACGACAAACAGAAATAGTGCTTGGATAAATCGTGTAAAGTGTATATGATATACAAATTGGAACTATGGTATAATCCCTATAAGGTATCTTCATGTTGAGTACTCTCGAATTGTTAGGCTATTGAACAAATTGCAACTATGGTATGGTTCATGTCGAGTACTCCCGCATTGAAATATGTCTATTGAATAAGTTGAAAGTCTGGTATAAGCCATATACTATAGGGTATCTTGATACCGATTACTCTCAAAATGTATTCTTATTGAACTATGGACCTGTACTAGAGGGTATCTTCATGCCGAGCGCTCTCGTATTGAAGTATGCCTATTGAACAAATCAAAAGAATTGTATAGGTTCTATACCCTATCGAATTCTATACTTGAAACGATGGTTTAAACCCTATACTATAGGGTATCTTCATGTCGATTACTATAGAATTGTAAGCCTATTAATCAAATTGGAACTAAGGCATAAGTTTTATACTAAGGGGTATCTTTATGCCGATCGAAATGTATACAAATTGAACAAATTGGAATTATAGTATAGGTCCTGTACTATAGGGAATCTTCATGCCGATTACTCCCGAAATGTATACTAATTAAACTAGTTAAAGCTATGGTATAGGTCCTGTATTGGAGGGTATCTTCATGTCGAGTACTCTCATATTGGAGTATACCTATTGAACAAATTGGTATAGGGTCTATACCCTATCAATTTGGATACCTAATGAACAAATTGGAATTATGGGTTAGACCCTATACTGTAGGGTATCTTCATGCTAAGTACTCTCGAAAATAGGTAAGCCTACTATGTCCCTGAACTGAAAACTCTTATTTTCAAATTTCAAGCAGCTTAGGGAATTTTTTTCGATCTAGTAGCAGTTGAAATTGTCGTGGCATTGTAAGGGCATGTGGCCAGAACGTTTAAGTATTATTTTCATTCCTTTGGCGATAGAACACGCATCAATTTAAAGAATTCCGGAAAAAAATCTTTCAATTTTGTGCCTAAATAGTACAATTACAGTTAACAAAATATTTTCAGAGTTTTAGTTTGTGAAAAGTCGAAATGTTTCGCGTAACACGACGTTTGGCCACTCGGGTTTTTCCTTCCCGGCAAGCAATTTTCAAGAGGACCTACTCCCAGATGATAAACCAGATGTTGCAGATTCAGCAGATGGAAATCTGCGCAGATCCTCCATCACGTGGCCTGATTATCGGAGTCTATGCGGACGAAGAGGATAAGAACGATGCCGGTATCTTGACCCAGGCCGGCTGGCGATACAATGTCCAAAAGACGCACGGACGTTTGTTGGAGGTGCTGCGCATGTCTGGTCCCATGCCGAAGCGTGGTGAGACGCGGATGCTCTTCGCGATTGAGCCCGAACGGGTACCCTATTACTCGGCGGTGGCTGTAATAGGTCTGGGCAAGGAATGCCTGGGCTATAATCCTTACGAGGTGCTCGATGAGCAAAAGGAGGCCATTCGTCGGTCGGTGGCTGACGCCTGCAGGATCCTGGCCGAACTAGACACCGATCGTATTGAAGTGGAGAACTGTGGTCATGCCGAGTCAGCCGCTGAGGGAGCCGCTTTGGGCATTTGGGTATACCAGGAGCTGCGCGATCCCAAGCGGCGTATGTCGGTCCCAGCAATTGATTTGTATACCAACAAAGATGAGATCTGCGACATCGAGGGCTGGCGTATTGGATTGCAGAAAGCCGCTGCACAGAATCTGACCCGGCAGCTTCAAGAGATGCCTTCGAACTTGCTGACCCCCACAGCATTTGCCCAGAACGTCGTAGAGGTTCTGTGTAAATCTGGTGTCAATGTGGAAGTCAAAGTAGAAGGCTGGGCCGAGAGTCAGTCGATGCATGCCTTCTTGGCGGTGGGAAAGGCTTCCTGTGAGCCACCAATCTTCCTAGAGCTAAGCTACTATGGAACATGCGCCGAGGAGCGTCCCATTGTTCTTGTCGGTCAGGGTGTGACATTTGATGCCGGTGGCTTATGCCTGAAGGAACGTGGAGAACTTTACCACATGCGTGGTGATATGACCGGAGCTGCTGTTGTGGTGGCGACCTGTCGTGCCGTGGCAGGACTGCGTTTGCCGGTACATAACCACGAACTTTAAATTAAAAATAATTTCTAAACGATCAATCCTTAGGTCAACATTCGCGGTCTCATCCCACTCTGCGAGAACGTAATTGGATGCAACTCGTTCCGTCCCGGTGACATGGTTAAATCCATGAATGGCAAGACTATCGAGGTCCAATGTACCGACCATGAGGATGTTCTGGTTCTTGCCGATGCTTTACTGTACGGTCAGAACTTCTGCCCCAAGTGCATCATTGATATTGGCACCTGCTCGGGTTATATGCGTCAGGCCTTGGACGAAGCTGCTTGCGGTATTTTCACCAACTCTGAAATCCTCTGGCAACAGATCAAGCACGCCAGCATGCACACCGGAGATCGCGTCTGGCGCTTCCCATTGTGGAACTATTACAGCAAGGCCGTCCGCGCTGGTGGACGTAGTGATGTTCAGAACTACGGCATTGGACGTGGAGGCCGTCCCTGCAAGGCAGCTGCCTTCCTGCGTGAATTTGTGCCATGCGGCCAATGGATGCATATTGTAAGCTATTTTTTGGGTTCGTATTAAGTGGTGCTTAACTTGACCCTTTTGTTCCCAGGATGCTACCAATGTGATGGTAACAGCGGGTGAAGAGTTCGAGTATTTGCGACGTGGAATGGCTGGTCGTCCAACTCGCACTTTGATAGAGTTTATTGCTCAGACCATTTGCAAGGACACTGCCCCAAAGTTGAAAAGTTAGGATGAAATAACAGCGAAAGGTGGTGGGGGAGTTCCAAACAGATCTTCGGAGGGTGCTACAGTTTCGGAGTTCTTTTAAGTGACAGATCTGCGACTTATTTGACGTTTCTGAGTTTTTAATTATTTGGACACAGAATGTTAAAATTCATTAGTTTATTAATGAAAAAAAATTTATAAAATTAAAAGTTTTATCAAAAGCATATGTGTAAATACAGAGTTTTGAGTATACGACTCGTGCGTTTTGATAGATTTGGCGTTTTCGACGCTTTCAATGATTGCTTAACGTATTGCTCATCAGAATACCGATTTCTCAGGTCATAAAATTGGGCGCAGGCCGTGGTTTTAAATTCGGAAACGGCGCTCTGCTACGCCAATGAGACAGCGTGAGTCAAAACCACGTTAATATCTATGGGTGGATAGTTCTGAAGCAGTTTCACATTCGAGGCAAAGTCATTCTCCAGTATGGCGTCCCGTTGAATTCTGTGGTAATATATTATTAGCGTTGTCATCTTTAAGGTGTTCCTGTGACTTACAATATCATGGAGCAACAAATTTTAATAAGAAAATCAAAACGCTTCTCATCCGAGAATATCGAGTCCCATATTCGCAACACATCGGGCAGTGGGAATTCCTGTGAGAGTAGCAGATTGATCCATCTGAAGCTGTAGTATTGAGGATGCAGCTCCTGACTTTTGAGGTGATTGTATATGCATATATCTTTTGATTTCAGCATATTCGAAAGCCTGGACATCATGCATTTAATGCCGCCCTCCGCATCGTCCAATGTTTTTATAAAAAAGTCTCTTATTTCACTCATCAATGCAGTAAAGCAAAAGAAACAGTCCGCCTCGGCATGTGCGCGATTCGATAGATCCGGATCTGAGGCCATAACGTAGTAAATGGGCCCAACTATTTCATTCATGCCTTGCACATATCCCTGACCGGGATTCAGTTTGGCATATATAAATAATATTCGTTGCACAACCTCCCAATGCGCTTCTTGGCCTTCTTCCATGGCGGCATAGTTTTCCGCCGAGCGTTTTGTTATCAAGTTTATCTGGATATGTGATTGATTCATTTGATTAGCGTTGTATTATTTCATGTTAAACCAACTTACTTGCTGCTAAATTCCGCAAGGAATGCATAATGGAAGGTTTCTTGATCTCTTAATCCTACAAAATCAACACGTCTTTATTCCATTCAGACTCACCTTAGTCACACCCAGACCTTTTCGTTCAACATTTGCCGAGCTCAGCACGGAGGGCACCACGCGCTCGTGTAGCCTCCTACCCTGCTCCCCCTTGCTGTGTACAACAATTTCACATGGATAATCCGTGGGCTGTTGAAAGAACGATATGTCCGGACACAGACGCCTCACATCTTTATCAATTTGCAGCAGAAATTCGTTATCGTTGAAAAACGTGTTCCAAGCGCTCTCCGGCCCCTCGCTAAGCGGATGATCTTGCAGGCCAACGCCCCTCGATTCATCATCGCTGTTGCCAGCGCCATTTTGTGTGTGCCCAGGCGGCAGCACTAGTTCCATTATAAATTGTTTATAGAGCGCTCGCTTCTGCGCCAATGTTGTGGCCCAGCTGCTGCGTCTGGGTCCCAGATAGCCCAGCAACATTTTCCAGCTGAGCGCCCGAAAGCTGAGTACATCTGGCACACCTGTGGATTTGTGCGTAAGTGCTAGTTATATTTAAACATCTCCATATAGCTTCAACAAACCATTGAATGTGTGCCGACGCAGTTGCTTGAGTTCAATTACATCCTGGGCAAAAATCTCCTCGAATTCCTTAACGCTGCATAAACAACACAGACTTTCCCTTAGTTTGGATTGTTTCCCACAGATGCCAGATGTACATACCGCACTTTAAAAATGGACATGCTTGCCGCAAATCCTTACGCTCTCCATATAGTTATATATAATACGTGTGTTTCGCGTATGTTATTGCTTTGTTGTCATTTATACAATTAATAATAGCAGGGATGTACAACTGCAACTGCAGTAAGCCAATTAATGTATAAGAAAATACAACTATGTGGCAACGCTGGCACTCGCATGAAGTTGGCGGCACGCAATTTTCGACTCACGTGAATTGCCTGCGCGCAATTTTTAAATTTTGCATATTTAGCTGTTATTTTAATCAATAAATATTTTCATGTGTTCACTTTTTCACTGCATTAATTACACTTTTCACTCTTTCTCCGCACCCGATTCGTATAATGAACATGTTATTTTGCGCTCGTTATGCACTTTATTCTTTTTTTTCTAGCTTTGCGCCATTTAAATTACACATACGCGTTGGCGTGAGCAGACGCATGGATGTCTGTGCGGCCGTAAAATCGGAAAGAGAGCAATTCTCAATTGTTTATATGGTTTTTGTGGCGCATTCCAATTGTTTACGCTAGTCGTTGGCCAGCAATGACGACCAACAGATCGTCATACGCTCGACCGGCTTTTTGGAAGGTGCCCAGTTATGTACATGACGTAAACTCTACCCCAACGTCCACGTTGCCAATTTCAACATCCCGCCTGACGCAGCGACGTTGCAGCAACAGCGGCAACAAGAAGCGTGTCCACTTTGCCGATGAGCTACACAATGGGGTAAGTCAAGAGACCACCCCGTTCGACTATGCTGCGGCATCGGCATATGCCCTGTCAATCGTCGCTGGTATGGCCCCAATCCTCTCTGCCACCACATTTGGAATCAGTTCAATAGCATTTTGCACTTGGCGGCCCGTAAATTAGTCGGGCACAATTTAATTAATTGGCCACTGCTGCAGTTTTTCTTTTAAAAATGCGGCTCTCAAAATTCCCAAAACGCAATCATATATATTTATTATATGGATATAGCGTGAAATTGACGCAAATGTTTTTAGCTGCAGTTGCCAAAAAGAAGACAAAATAATGTGCCAATATTTTGGAAAATCTTTTGAATGCATTTGATGGCAAGCTTTGAGAAATTAATGATATATGTTAACGACTGATTTAACTAGACAGTTTCGAAATCGGTTAAACGACCTTAAATATGTCAATCATACGAAATCAAAGAATTTCAAACAAATATCATGTGAAAGCAATTCAGTTCACATATAGTAAAAGCATTTTAGAATCGGGGCAAAACAAAAAAAGGCTACCGAATCAAATAAATAGGTTGCAAAAATAAATGCCAGTCCATATATTGTATACGTAAATATGTATATCAACGCCTGCTATACGAAAAGCGACGGGAAGCAAAAAGATTTTTCCGTTGTAAGAAGTAAAAATGCTGCCAAAAACAAAAGGAAACACAATTTCGTTTCGATTTCTTTTGACGTTATGGCGCAATATACATATTCCCTATCATTTTGAGTCAGCATCCACAGAGTTCCATATCGATTTTGGAAAGGGGAACATGTTTGACCCTCAAACAACAGTCTGTGCAGATTGTGTATACGACGCGTTGTATGCGCATTGACTAATGCCCCAAACATTTGATTTGTTTATTTAAAACGAGCGACTGTTATTGTTGCTAGTGCCGCCATTTGAAGCGTGCCAGTAAATAAATTTAATTACAGTCTCTCATTTGCTTGGCTGCAAGAACGAATCATAAAATTTGTTGAAACTTTTCAAAAACATATGCCCAAGAAGACGAATACTTCGGTCTTCATCATCAGCATCGTCGCAGTCGTCGTCACTGGCGGATGATCGTGCCCCTAGACGCTGACATGTGGCGTTTAAATTCAGGGTCATTTTGTCTATGCAACTGGATCAAGTGTTCTTACAAAAAGTCTATAGGATCTCATTTTCAAATATGTTTCCAGCTTGAACTTTTAATAACTAATCTGAAGAACATTGGCTTGTCTGTGTATTCGAACATTTTCCGAAACCAAAAGAGTTTTGTTACCAAACCCTTAACTGAACTGAAATGCTCTTCACGTAGCGCATAATGAAAATTATTGGCATTTGGATTGAGTTCGTTTTTCTCAGACCGCTGACTACATGATTGTAGCGCAGTGTATTCGTAGTATACCACGATCGGTTGCCGCTTGCTGCAAAAAGGAATACAAATTGTATTTTAAAATTAGTACTTGAGCAGCATTGCGATCGAATAATACGCGAAAATCGCGCTGCACGCGCTTACCTCCGCCTCGGGCTGAGAACTTGGCCAATAAACAATTCAAGATTCGCGCATGCCGAGTGAACAGGCAGCGCCAACAACTGCCTTAACGAAGCTAGTCTAATATGCTCAACTGAGCTGTGAATTAGTGTAACTGAACTATCAAACAATAACGGTTCAAATATGAGCCCAAAACTGCACGAGTTCGCCGTGACGCTCCAGCGTGATGGCCAGGGCACGCCCTGGGGCATACGTTTGGTCGGTGGCAACGATTTGGATACGCCCTTAATCATCACCAGGGTAAAGTGGAGCGAACTTCTTGCCCACCAATTGGGTCTGCATTATGTAACCAGAGCAGATGCAGCCAAGAGCTGGCAATGGGTTGCTTCCTTCTCGCCTGTCGCTTTGTGGTTAATGTCGCCGCAACGGCCCATTCATCAGAATAAGCGACAGAGGACTGTCCATTATCGTTGCCAAACTGCTTTGGCCTTTGGGTTCTGCACTACTTAATGACAAAACAAACAAACAACAACAAATCAAAACAGTAAAAGTACAACGGACGGGCGGACGCGACTGCAAAATACTCTGTCTGCATGGGAGGAGGAGCAATGCCAAGAAAAGATTGTTATAAATCGGTTTTTCTTATTAGTTTAGCTAAATTAAGTGCCAACTCTTAGTCAGAATCAATTTGCCAGATTTCAATATTCCCAGAAGAGAACGAAAAGAAGGCACTCGTCTGGCACACCCTTTTCACCCTTTACAGTGTAGGGTATAAATAGCGAAACTGGCACACACTCGCACACACACACTGGCACACACGCACGATATATGGCATACCAGGAGAATGTTGCAATGGCAACGTTGCCAAAGATTTGCATATTCTGAGACGCCAGTAAAACTAATTGAGGCGCAACAAATAGAATACGACGCATGTAAACAATGGGGAATGGGGCCTATGGGACTTGGGGCCCTCATAATAATGATGTCTGTGCAACGATGTCAAGGTCGACAGCGGTCCTAGGCCTGGCCAATTGGGTTAACAAACGTCTCACATGTTTAACCTTCGTTCACACAGGTGCAGGTTGGCAGCCCATCGTACGGGGAGCTGTTGCGTGGCGATATTATAGCCAAGATTGGCGAGTACGATGCACGCGACCTGAGTCACGCCGATGCCCAGCAGCTGTTTCGCGGAGCAGGCAACGAGATTCGTTTGGTGGTGCACAGGTGAGTTCGCCAAAAAGGATTAGTTGCAGCTGCTTCATATTAAATGCCATCTATTTTCTAGAGACAACACAATCGCCTACACGCAGGGCGTCAATCAGGACGGCGGCTCGGGCAGCAGCTCGAAGTTGCCGCCGGCCAGTCCGGATATGTCCCAGCATCCGCATCGCGGACCATCACCCTTCTTGCCCGGGCCCAGCCACTTTGAGCGTGCGCTGCAGCTGCCCGTCGATACACTGCCCCAAACGGTGTTTCCGCAGCTGAACCCCTCGGGCGGCTATGTGCCGGCCACGAGTGTGTTTGCACCAAAAGCGACACGGGATCATCAACAGGATGTGGCCGAGGAGCAGGCACTCATTGTTAATCAGGTGAGTGACAAAGTAAAAGGCTACAATAAATGCTTAAGAAAATAGACCACAGCTCATAAACAGTGTAATAGAGTTGTAAATCCCATTAGAACAAGTTAAATTTCTTCGAAATCTGATTGGATTTGACGACATTTCAGTTCGGCGCAGAAAAGTATGCAATGTGAAGTCATGTTCGCATCTAAACTGACGCCTTGAAGTAGGCAGCAGAAATTGTTATGAAATAGATATGAATTTTGTAAAAATCGTATGCCATCTGCTGACATCAGTGGATAGACATTTTGTGGTCAAGGTTCCACTGTTTACACGATCTAAATTTAGCCAAATATATACAAGCGCAGCATGTTTCAGCTGCGAAAATGTGAACGCTAAACAGGAAAGTCTTGTGACGCAGTATGTGCAGGTGGAAAACTGGCAAGCAAATAAACAAAAACGCCCAAAAACTGCCGCCCTGCTTTTTAAACAAAAAAAAAAATGCAAAAAAAAAATTAACGGCGCATATATAAAAACATTATTTTGAAAATTGTTACTCGGCCACTTTGGCTGGCTGCAGGTGAACAGCGTACTTTACATATACATATGTATATTTATATTTATTTTTATGAAAAATACGTATACCAAGTATATGCGAATGTCCATTGCCTGCCTGCTGTTGAGGGCGCTGTCGGCGGCTACCTTGTGATCTTCAGGCAATGCCAACGAAAGTGTTGCGCCAAGCTCACCTCAGCTGATGACGCTGTTAATGAAAACAACAATGTTGCCACTTGCCAAGGTTGCCATTTTATTTGTCAATGCAGCATATATAAATATATACCAAGGTGTTGCCATATTTATTTTCTACTGCTTGTTATGATTTGTCATCAATTTAATACAATAATTTGTATTCTTGTTTTGACGATTATTGGCTGTAAAAAGACGCTCCCTTGAAATACCTACAGCTTTTTCAGATCCAAGAAACAAACAATTTGATATACTCAAACAAAAATAGGAAACTTATAAATAAATGATCTCTTATAAAAATTCGTAATATGCATATAAATAACTTTTTTCAATTTGGCACAGATCAGTTTGTTTTTCGGAAAACTTTTTGATCAACCCACTCAAAGAATTATTTTTTGTTGTTGTTTTCTTTCGAATATTCCCTTCCAAAAATACCTAATATTAAACAAACAACCTTCAGACTTGCACAAATAAACATATTATAATGTAAATTATGAGTTCCTTGGGTCTATCCGTCGAACTTGAAAGTTCTTTGACGCCCAGCCTCTGCTGTTTATGTGGGTGTGTGCCTAACCTATGAAGGTTAATTACACCTGTCCCAATGCCTATTCCAGTGTCAAATTGACTTAGACATCAATTAGCTGCAGGCAAAATGTCAATGTTAAAAAAAATGGCGCTGTCAGAAATGCTCGACAAATTGTTTGGCAATTTCCAAGAGCAAATCAGCGAAAGCAATAATGAATGTTCTACAGAGAATGTGAGCAACATTTTGGTGCAATAATTTGAATTTATGTTTGTGCAACCGAACAAAACAATAACCTCGGTACTGCCCAATTCTCGTATGAATAATGCAAATAAAGCGAGAAAAACAGAAGAAATCGCTCTAAAAATCGGCAATTAAAATATATACATGATATTTTATGAATAGGCAGGACAAACAAACTGACAGCACATACGGCACATCTGTGTGCATAATACATATAGATGTCGTTATAAGGAGGGACTGGGGAGGATTTCCACTTTTTTTTTGTTTCTTTGAACGGCGCGTGGGCGATCTCCGAAATGAAAAGCGCTCACGGCAGCATCCAAGTCCAAGTTTATATGTAAGTAGTTGTTGTATCTTGCCGTTACGCTCGGTGAATAATCTATTTGCACAAAACATTTAGCCCAAGAATATATATCTTTAACAAATTGAGCGAGATAGAGAGAGAGAGAGAGAGAGAGATTGTGGGAATCTGTGTGCTGGTGTGCGTGGGTTTGGACGGCCTCTGACCGTCAGCACTCGCACTCTGATGCTGATGCTGTTCTATATGGCCACACACACACACACACGCACACAGACACATACAGCTCATATATAGAGACTCTATATAGACGGATTGGAATTCCGCGCAGTCGAAATAGCAATAATTCGCCAGCATTTGAAAAGTTTGAAATCAGTTGCGTTCGGAATATTGAAAAATAAACAAGTCTAGTCGAAACACACATCCCTCCTAGTCCTAGTGAAGCGATCTCCGCAAGTGGTGAACAAGAAGAAGAAGAGTTAGCAGAGCAGCGTTGATTTAAACGTGCCACAAAAGCAAGTTGCCAAAATTCGCAAATAGTAACAAAAAGCAATTAGACGCAATCATAATAAATATTCAAAAATAATAATAATAATCATAGAAGCATTAATTGTGATATTAGAAATTGCTTTTCCTTCAAAATTGCGTTCTTACGTAAGAGTATTCTGTAATATTTTCGTTTCTATTCTATTCAAATTTTGCTCAAAGGAGTTTAAGTTCAAAAACCCACACACACACAAAAAAACACACACACAAATCAAAATGGAGTACGTTCAGTTCAAAAATGGATCACCCGTCTACTACAAGGAGCAGCCAGACCTCAACGAATGCATTCAATATCAAGTAAGCATACGATCTTAAGCAAAAGAAAAGCGAAAGCTCAAAGTGAAATGCGTAAAATGGGCTTTACAAGACTAAAAGATATGGCATAGCAAGTATTTGAGCTTAACTGAGAAAACTAAAATTGATTAAAAGAATTTTTACATTCTGAACATTTGGAAGACTTCAGCCTTAATGTCAAAAATGTCAAATGGAATTCAAGTTCAAATGCAAGTGTCAACGTAAGCGACAGTTGTGAAGCATATTTCCAATTATTTTTCACTTTTTCCGAAAATAATACAAATGGTTTTTTTTTTTTTAGAGAGCAGCATATATATGTTTGTGCTCTCTTCTCGAACTTTCTGCTTCTTCTATGCATACACCCACCGTTTAGCTTATTATTTGAACATATTTGTTCGCTCTTCGTCAATATGCGCGAATAGGAAAAACAATTTTGAAACATATTTTTCATGGCTTTTTCGGCTGCTGCTCAATGTAATTCATACCACGTTGGATATTTTTAGAAGAAAAATAAATTTAAAAAAATCTCTCGGAGCGAATAACAACTTGCGAAAACAGCAACAAAATAATAAACAAAATGATTCGAAATGAAATTAATTTGAAAACGAACATAGAAACCAACACTGGCGATAATTAGTTTAATGAAAAAATAAACCCAAAAACAAAATCACAATTCCCCATTGTTTAAACATGTGGGAAGATTTTGGCATTGCATCAAAAAATGTGGCGCAGCGAAAGTGAACAATTGTTGTCACTATTCGGAAGAAGAAAAAAAAAAACGGTTGCTAAATATTTGCGAGAGAAATGTTGCGAAACTAATTTATTATTAAATTTACACTAATGTTCTTAGCAACTATATGAAGTCAGTGTGAGTTTGTCAACATTTTGAATATGTATTTATAAACGTTAGTTGTCTGGGCAGATTTACTTAGATTTATGATGGGCGAGTTTGAATTCAATTAAAAATTTCGAAAGTGACCCTCAAATGATATTTCAAAATATTTTTATGTGCCTGCGCCAGCTACAAATTTTAAATTTAGCAACCATAAGAGACAGAGAAAAATAAAAACTGAACGTATTCAACTTATTTTCGTATATCTCAAAATTGTACGCGCGTCGTTCGATTCGTTCTACGGCCAAGGTGAATAAGAATTGTATGAAATGCGCAATTAAACGAAAAGTAGCAAAATTGCTTACCTACTGATTTCTATAAAGGTAATCATCATGTTCACTATTCTACTCGTTGCTGTGCTCATATCCGTCACTTTGCCAAACAGGCGGTGTCACTCAAGATCGAGGCAATTAACTGCTTGTCGCTAAGTGCTGCATGCACCTCCTCCTCGTCCCACTGCAGCACGACCTTGTTGAGGCGTGGCTCCTTCTTGCGCATAATGCGCAATATACCACGGGTCTCTACCAGATCGACGGTGCCCGCAAACTCGGCCTGATCGAGAGCGAGTATGTTGCGTTTGGCACACACGCGTCGATACACCTCGTGCAGCCGCCCCATGCTGATGTCCTTGTTGCGTTCGTTACGCAGCATCAGCACCAGCGAGCATAACATTAGCTTTTGCTGCAGCGGAAAGGCGGCTTCAATGTCCTCCTCTAGGTTCTGTGAGGCGCCATAGACCTTGTTGAGCACCGCCGCCACTTGGCTGACCTGCACAGGCTTCAGCGTGTCTATAAATTAATTTAATTACATTATCAATTGCATTAGGCACAAGAAGCATTCATTTACCATTAGCCTCTGTGGTCTGACCCTCCAGATCGAGAGCCTTCATGTTGAACTCTTTGTCGCCAGCACGCTTCTGCTGCTCGGCAATCTCGACGACACGCCGACCAATGTCCAGGGCACGTCGCACATCGCCGCTTACCGCGCTCACCTTGGCTGCGAGCAGCTGCAGCGTGACAGGCGGAAATACATCCATAACCTGCGCTTCGGCCAGACGTGATTTAAATATATCGACGATCTGTGGCTTGGTGTAGGGCGGAAAGTGCATCAGTTTTGGTTTCAGCTCGCAGCGCGCATTCAGGCGCATCAGTGCACGGTCTGTGAGATCCAAGCTGTTGGCAATGCCAACTAGCAAGATACGGGCACCGGGCAGCGCAGGCCACTCAAAGATCGTATACAAAACCTCCTGTCGTGTGGTGCACAGCTGATCGATCTCGTCCAGCACCAGCAGCAACATGCGCTTGGCTGTACGCAAATGGCGCTGTATGGCCGCCAGATTATCACGCTCGGTGCGGCCTGTTGGCTTCAGCTGCAGCTCCGCGCACAGCTTCTTGTAGACGGCGCCCACGCTGGCAATGCTCGTGCAGTTGATGTAGACGCGCTGCAGTCGCTTGGCGAATTCCGGAGCGCGCAACAACAGCGACAGGCAGGCGGTCTTGCCTGTGCCCGGCTGGCCGGAGACATAGAGACTGCCGGAGGTTTGAGACTCCAAGTGCTCGGTAAAGAATTCGCGCAGTTCCTGCAGCTGCGGCTCACGACCTGGCAGATTGAGCGTTTCGGCGCTGTTAAGCACACGACGCGCATTCTGATATTTATTGCGTGGCGGCGAGGGCTTTGGAGATTCTGCCCGCTCCGCCTTTTTGGTATGCGTTTCAGTCTTGCTTGGTTTTTCCACCTGCTCCTCACGCTCATCTATGCTCAGTCTGTCCAGCAGGCGCGAGGGGCTGATCAAATGCTGTGGCAGTGGCTGCGTCTTGCGCTGCTTGGGCGGCGACACATGTGCCGCTTCATCTAGCTCCTCCTCGCTGCTGCTGCTGCTGCTATCATCCATGAGCTTTGCTGCACGTCTGTTGGCCTCAATCCGTTGGGCCATGGTCGTCAAAGCTTCAGTTGTGGTTTTTGTCGTGGTTTTCTTGCTGCTGCGTGGCGTCTTTAGCTGCTCTTGGTGAGTTTTTTGCGCAGCGGCTGTTTTACGTTTGCCCGCCTTGTCCATTTGATTCAACAGGTTGTTGTTTTCGTTATTCTCTGAAATTACACTAATAATATCATCCTGATCCTCGTCTTCACTGTCTAGAATCTGCTTGGAGTGTCGTCTGCGCCAAATTTCTGAGCGTCGTGGCGTTGTTGGCAGCGGCGACTGAGGCAGCGCTGCCGTCGCTGTTGCTGCAGACTTGTTAATGCTGCTCAGACGCGTGGAGCGACGGACGGCTGCCATTTGTTAAGCTTTTGAAGTTAGTTGCACTGTTTTAATACTAGTTATGCAGTTAATTTAATTAATTGAAGTTTTTTCTTCGATATTCGTGCAAAGCGCGACGGGTTTAGTTGCAAAGCAAATGTAATCAAAAGGCGCGAAACGAGTCTCAGCTGCGCACCTCGATCAGCTGCCTGAGCTGCAGTCTGGCAACGCTGCACAGCGTTGCATTCGATTGTTGGGCGCACATATTTGAATTGTCGCCACGAATATTGAATTACTTACGGGCTTGTGCGGCTGCGTGTGACCAGGCAGCGTTTGTTTTCAAAAATAAAACAGCGAGCAGCAAATGAAAATTGCTGGACGAAGGCGAAAACGCTTACGTAAGCGCCTATAAATATTAGTCTCGCCTTGCTACGCTGAGATATTTTTGAAAATATATGTATAGACAGACGCTCACACTCTCATACATGAAATGGAATTTTGGTAAATAAAGTTTATACAAAATTCAAAGATACCAAAACACACGCATGCAAATAAACTGAAATGTTTTGCTGTGTGTGGTATTAAGCATAACGAAATTGTTTTTATATACATTTGGAAGCTGCGGTTTTTCTACTGATCGCATGATGTTGTTGCCCAGCGGACTTTGTACATAATTTTATTTATCTAGATTGTACTAGTTTGTAAGCTAGCCAAATGTTTGAAAGTAATTAATTTACCACAAATCTCATTTTGTTGTTTCACAGCCATACCGAACAACTCCACTGGTTCTGCCCGGTGCCAAAGTGAAAAAGGATGCACCCAGCACAGACTCATACTTGAGACACTACCCAAATCCAGCTGTGCGCGCCCATCCCGGACACGACTACCATGACAGTATCATGAAGCAACGCGTTGCCGATACCATGTTGCACAAGGTTGTTGGCCAGGATGCCGATACTGGCAGAGTGAGTATCAAAGCAAACAAAACTCTTTTACAGCCAAGCCTGACTGCTTTCAATACGATTCTCGTTTAGGTTTTCCACAAGCAATTCAACTCGCCAATTGGTCTGTACTCCAACAACAACATTGAGGACACCATCAGAACAACAGTTCCGTAAGTTTACCATCCACTTGGAAACCTTTATGCTACTCAACTGACAATATCAAAAGCTTAGTTACAATACAATACACTAACAATTTTGAATATTTTCGAAAACGCTGTTAACCAACAAAATTGCGATATTTTTGAAAAATTGAATAAAATACTTTGATTTGCGTAGTTCTTTGTCAAATTTGTATGCAGCTAATTGACGCGCCTAGTATGCTTCAAACTAATATACTATATACAACGAGCCATTATATTGATTAGTCGAAAGTCCGTGCGGATTGATTCTTAGTTAATCTATTAATCGTAGGAGACAAACAAAAATGAGACCAAATTTACTAAACCAAAGAGATACACACCCAATAAGACAAAGGCGTTCATAGATGTTGTATGTCTACTACTTGCTCTATGTTTATCTATATATACACACATATGCTCTATATACACCACATACATATATCTCTATATATATATATATATTCTATGTATATTGTTGTAGCTTTGCCACAAGCGATAGCTATCGCTTGAAGGAAAGTCCTTTGCATCGTCCTTTGCCAACAAAACTTGACGGGTAAAAGTAATCATATTTTGAGCACAGCCTGATATATATACTATATAAACACATTTTTTATGGATTGATTGATTTTTGCATTACTTGGAGATCGTATGATGAAGCCAAGCATTCGGTCTTCTAGAAACTTGATTTTTAGGCTTATTTGAAAACTTAAGTGTTTGCTACATACACATTTCCAAAAATTCCCCATGTGCACACTCTCTGTACTACATTATCCTGCCTGCCAATGAAAATTAACCGAATTGTTGTACACCCTGCCACAACAAGCGCAACCTGTGTAAAGTCTTAATCCTATATCAAATATATATTCTATATACATATGCCACAATCAACAGCTAGACACAATACACACAACAAGTGCATGTCCTGTCTATATGTAACTCTCCTCTATATGTATTCTCGTCCACATATCGTATGAGTCTATCGTGTTCCCATGCCTATAGCAAGCAAAAAACTCCGACGAGCTGGTTTGCGACATGGAGACAACAATTCTCAGTATCCCAAAACCTCTAGAAACCAGAGTTTGAACCTCTTCAGGCCTTTCGTTGTTGCGCGCGTGTGTTCCTAGAACTATTACTGAATCTCGAACAGAATGGCAAATGTGACGCAATTGTGAAAGGTAACAAGCATTTAGGACAGACGCTGTAAATATTACAGAATTCGGAAAATACGTTAATTAATTTGTAAGCAGCCGAACAGAATAATTGATACATATATTATATAATTTGGATAAGATGCCTAACAATCAATACAAACACAATACTCTAGCCAATATCAATACCATCTTAGACGTAATGTTTAGAACTTAGCTGCACGATTAATGTTAGAATTTTCATCGATCTATCTTTCCTGGAACAAAAACGTAAAATTCTGGAGCAACAAAAGCAAAAAGATCAACTTGCAGAGCAACAACGTCAACAGCGCCAACAGCAACTGCAGCAGCTCTATCAACAAAAATAAAACGATGATCAAAAATAATTTTTTCATAAAGAAATATTAGCAAAAATTTATTACTAGAGCAATGAAACCCCGCCCAGCCCATGCCCATTGATAAGCTGACCGGCCCTCACAATCAATTCCCAAAAAGTTCCTTTTCAATTAACAAACATTAAAATATGAAAGACGTTTGCTGAACTCTCCCACTAAAAGTGTCAAAGACAACACATCAAGTTCCTAATTCCGAAGAAACCCTCTAAGTATTAACCGTAATACCACAAGACCTAACTAACCAAACCCTAAGATTAATATACATATATATATATTATATATACATATTTTTTTTTTTTATTAATTTTCAACTTTTGTTATGCAGTTCTGTTAAAATTTACTTTTAATATTTAGCTTTAAGCAAGTTGTTGAATTTTTTAAATAATTAATTAAAGTTGTTTGAGAAAGTGTCGAGTTTTAAGACAACGAGCACACTATGCCTATTTGATTAGAACATAACTACAACAAGAATCAAAATAATTCTAACGTATTTTGTGCACATCCTGTTTTTTTTTCTTTCTATTCTCTCTCACTACTCTGTCTCACGCTACTCAACCGATGTACAAAAACCTCTAAACATTCATACATATTCATATATGTGTATGAACTTAACCATAATGCAAAAAAAAAAAACAACAACCAAAACTGAAATGAAATAACGTTAAAATTTTCATAACATTATGTTGACAAATAATTATATATAAAATGGCGCTTTCAACGATCTCAATAAAACCTGAAACAATAATCATGAACAAACGACACGCGCGTACGGACACACAGTTATAAGAAAACTGTTGTCTACGATCCAAGGAATAGCGACACCTACAGAGCCATACAAGAGGAGGGCGGCTACAGCAGCTATGGCCAATCCTCGCCACAGGAAGTAACCATACCTGTGCAGACTAAGGTCTATCAGCCGAATAGATTGGTTCCAGGAAAGGTAAGATCGCGCCAACACTGTCAAATCGTCCACTCGAAACGTATTCAAAAACTTTATGTCAGATTTTAAAAAATATATTGTCAGACAAGATCGCTCGATTGTCAAGTTCATTGCGCACTTTGAATACTCTATCTCTATCTTGCTCTCTCTTTATATATTTTTAATTGTATCGCCGTCTCACGTACAGTCAAATCAAAATTTTTGTTCGTTTAGTACAGTCACAGCATTTTTGTTGTCCTTTATTTTGTGTCCATGTCCACGCTATATGCCTACCAGAATGTTAAGCGCCGCTTCAACTCGAATGTTTAATGTACTGTTAGGCAGTGAACTGATTACTAACATGGTCATGATAATTACTAATAAGGTTTTTTTGATAATTTGTCATGGCATCTGCAAGTCGTACAACATCATTAACCCCATCTCTGTGTATATTTTCCCAATCGCATTATCGGCAATTTTTTGGCATTATAACATAGTCAGCTGCTAACTGAAAGCACGCTCATAACATTTGATTATTGCGGTGAGAAAAAACTAGTATATATTTAAAAAAATTATTATCTAACGGAAATATATTTATTAAGCAAGAGTTCTCTTTTTGTTTTCTACATTCCCCATATACCTTTTACAGAAACCAGTTTCAGCGCCAGTATCCCGGCCGCCGTACAATGTAAGTAAACGAGTGTTGATTAACAGAGAGCTGTTAAGGTAAATGTTAATTGTTTACATATGTTTAACAGGTGGTAAACACCCACGATGAAAACATACGCCAGAGCGGCTCTTTCAATCGTCTGATGTACAGCGTTATTGGTGCCACCGACTACTAAATCAACAACAACAACGCCAAGCAGAACAACAGCGACAGTAACAGTAACAGTAACAGTAACAGTAACAGGAATGGTAACAGTAACAGCAAGGGTAACAGTAGCAGCAACAGTAACAGCAGGAAGCAAACAGACGATAAAAACAATAACAACAAACAACAAGAGTTGCTAGTTAAGAGTTACATAACCAATTTAGCGGATTTTTATGAAATTCTGTTTAACTTATTAAATAATTTATATAATGAACGAAAAAGAAAAAACACTCAACTAACAAAAGAAATTACCTTAAAATATATTACGAATCGGTACAGTAATTGAACGGAGATGATATTAAATTAATTATACACAACAAAAATCGCTCATAGATGAGTTAATTGTTCTCAACCCTTTTATCACTCTCCACATGCAATAGTCAATAATAATAATAAAAAAAGGATTAAATTTTAGTTAAAGATTTTTAACTTTATGTTTTTATGTTCATTTAAAGTTAACTTCTTCAATGGAAGTTAACAGCGAGTGGCTCTAGTCAAGTTACAAATGTATAAGAAATGCTCAATTTTAATCGAATAAAAATAAACATACTATATGCATATTGGCAAGTCGAGGCAAAGAACCATATTTCTTAAAGAAAACATTAATAACTGAACTTAATTAGAGTCTAATGACTGTCAAATAAAGAGTTCGTTTCCTTGATTTCCCAATGCCCAACCCGCCAGAAGGTAGCCCGATCTTTGCATAACATGACGCGGCAAATAAAAACATTTGAAATCCATCAATCAACCGGGCAATTAACAACATTTTTATTGAAATTATGTGTATGCAAACATGAGCCAAGCAACAGCACATAAAATTTGACTATAATTTTATTGAAATGAGACACACTTGTGTATTTGCCGCACATGCAGCCATAACAATTGTCTGCTACACATAATGTACTTTCACTTCACGGCTAAGTAATTCGTGATCCGGGCACACACACAACATTTAAGTCGCCCCCATTAAACGGTCAACGGCTGACGAAAATCGCGTATTCGGTAAGCTCCATAATAAAATCCAAGTAACTCCAACGACCTTGGCGAACCAAATCCTTTCCAAGACCCGTATCTGCTATGCACAGTGCTTTATATAAAACCCTAGGGCGTAACTGTAAGCCACAATTTGTGGAGCTCTACATTGTAACAGATCGAAGCAATAGGTACTCTTAAGTAATCGCATCAGAGACGATTACAAATATCGTATTTTATGAATGCCTCGACTGTGGGTGGGCATTGTTGGGTGTGCGGCGGGGTAGGGCTCCGTTGCTTTATTGAGGTTTAATGACTGCGTGGTTGATAGATAGATACGTACGTACGTGCGATCACATGGCAACAGTTGGTGGTACTTGCATCTGGTGTAAAGGTCTTAAATGCAAAGATTTGGCAATCGGAGCGCCAACAAATCACATCAAAGATCGCTGGCATACTTGAAGCTATTCAACCGCAACGTGGTCGCAACAGATACAGATGCAAATAAATACATACTCGTGGATCGTAAAACAAAGACAGCAAAACGTTTCGATTTCGAGTTTGCAGTGATTTAGCGATTTGGGTCAATCTCTATGAACAATGCACGTATGCACTTGTCGGATTAAATTCAATAAATTTGCTTTAAACGAAGCCCTAAACGCATTGACCTCAGCCAAGTGAACCCAGTTAATGTTAATTGGCCTGGCAAAAAGTTAAAGCAGATGATCTAACGATAATTGTAGTCAAAAACGAGCCACGCCAATGTTAACTAACAGCAGGGTACAGCCGCCAACAGTGAGCCAATGAGCCATGTTAGTTAACAGCAGGATTTAACAGTTGATTATGTTAGCAACATATTTGGGGGATAGCACGTAATGTTTGTGCATGCAAATGAACCAATCGTTAACTGGAGCAACAGTTTTCACTAAAACAACAATGACACACAGGTCGAGGCGAGTTGGAAAATCAGCTGAGCAGCTGAGCAGCGGCACAAAGCTACAGAGACAATGCTGCCCATGATATAATGGCAACGGAAACGACAACTATGTAAGCCAAACAGCTGTTGTAAATCAAAAAAGAGGCTACCAGCAAACGCTCCACTTGGCCGTTAGGAGAGCTTCGCTGCCGCGGCCGCCAATGCGGAGAGCCAACTAGTTGCCGCTCGTTAGACGTCGTCAATGGTATTCGATATAAAAGTGCAATTGGGGTTCGCAGCCAACGCAGATTGTTTTGTGGCTTGGAGTGGGACGTGCGCGTTTTGTCCAACGATACCAAAGTGAAGTGTTATTCAGCTCGCGTAGAAGCAAACCGTCTATAACAATGCAGCTTTTGCTCGTGGTGGCCACGGTCGCGATTTGTGGCGTCGTTCAAGCGCAACAGGGCGTCGATCCCGCCTATTTGCGTCAGTATTACCAGCAGCTGCAGCAACAGCAGCAGCAGCAACAGCCCTCCGATGGCACGCCCATCTATGAGCAGAACTCCGAGCAGACGCAGCAGTACGTGAGCTCCGGCCAGCAGATCAGGATTAAGGACACGGTGGCGGAGCAGATACGTGCCCAGCAACAGCAGTCGCAGGGATATGTGGCGCCAGCGGTTAGGGATTATCTGCAGCAGCCACAGGTGAGAGCCCACTCGCAAGGTAACTAAAAGCTTTTGCAACTATTCTCTTTTTCCCCCGGCCCCTCTTGCCGTTGCAGTACCAGTCTCAGGCGCAGCCGAGCGTCTATCGCCAGCCACAGGCAGCCCCAGCGCCGCCGCCGCGTCGCGTCCAGCCCGCCTACCAGGCCTCGTCTGCGCCGCTGCTCGGCAAAGGACAACACAAACTGCAGTCGCACCAGCAGCTGCAGCAGCAGCAGCAGCAGGCCGAGGAGGAGGAGCAATACGATGATGTAAGTTGGCCATAACGTGTTCGAACTCCACTTCAGGTTGACAGCAGCAGCGGCGCTGCTTTCGCTTTCGCCAAACAATGCTGCCAGCGCATAATTACAATTGAAGCATGCAGCGGGGAGAGATTTGCCCGTAGAGTTCATTAACCAACAGCCACAATGCACAGCCCCAGCTCCAGCTCCAGCCGCAGCCTAAGCCATGGCCATATGCAACATTCCATGTGGCATGCGCCTGGCTCGGACGTTTATTTATGGGCTGCTCATGCGGAAGCTGCGGATGCACGATAGCCACTTATCCAATATAAAATGCACATTAATCCGTTGGCTTAGGTAAAACTAGCTTTGCATATGAGTGGGAAATCTTTGGTGTCACAGTTGTGGGCTTTCTTTCAAGCGAGAACTGTTGAGTGAAAGCTGTGAAATCTGAGTAAAGAAGACTTGCAAATCATATGTAGGTATTTAGAAGAGTGCAATGGAATACAAAGACGGCTAAGATAAACTAGTTCATACAAGATTTTTCAGATAAGTGCTGCCAGCGCATTCCGTTATTTGATTTTACTGATAAGTGCTGCCCGTGCACTCAATTGTTTGCCAGTGCCAGTTATGCACAAGTGTTGCCAGTTTATTTCGATTTTGATCTGGCTGATAACTGCCAAGGCATTCATTCTTTTTTCTTGGCCAGTACAACCAATACTCAGAAATCGCCAAAAATGGTGCCACAAAAATGTCAGGCTGCATGTCACGAGCACATTCGCCGCAGTTACAATCACTTTCAAATGCGACCCATATACTATAGACCCCAATACACGCTCAGTTCCGAATGGACAGTGCACGCATTAGAACCGGCTCTTAAACTAGCTTTTTGGCCAATCGCCTTTCCAATTTGTGTTTATTTGTATTTTTTTTGTCGCTCAGCTGCACGTTGCATTGCAATAATTTTGCTTGGTTTTTGGGCCACGTCGGGCCAAGAACAATTGCTGCAGTCGCGGCCGACCACGCCCCAGGCCACGTTTTCCTCTTACCTTAACCCAGTTGGAGCTGTGGGCGCTGAGCCTTAGCCAGGTGTGTGAAGCTTCCTCGTGAAGCCACAACCTTGTGCATAAATTAAGCGCTGCCCGGCGGGCAACAAAAATAATAAATAAATAAATAATCCATAGTCAGGCCTCAGTGCGCGTTACGTGTAAAAGATTTCTGGGGATTTGAGCCGCTTCTACCGCTACCTAGTTGCATAAGACTTGCGATCGCTTCCAGGCCCCAACGATCAAAATATGCAAGTCGAGTCCAAATTACTTTCACTTGTGCGTGTCGAGCGACTGGGGGATTGGATGGTGGGCATTTGGTCTGGGCCTGCGACGGGGACACACACCCACACGCGGCGGGCCTTGTGATGTAATTGCCAAAAGAAAAAAACTGGGTCACTTTGCGCCACGCATTTGAATTGATCTCGTTTATATATATATAAAAGTGCTTGGCCTGTCTGGTTGATTGCAGCAAAACTCCTCGTACCAGTTTGGCTTCGATGTGAAAGATGACGAGTTTACCAACTATCAGAATCGCAAGGAAGTTCGCGATGGCGGGGTTATCAAGGGCAGCTATTCTGTGGTCGATTCCGATGGCTTCATACGCACGGTCAAATATACAGCCGACCCGAAGGAGGGCTTCAAGGCGGAGGTCATACGCGAACCCACCGACATTGTGGTCAAAATACCGACGCCACCGCCGCCAACGCAGCTGCTCCGCTCCGGCCTCCACAAGGCACCCCAGGAATACAGCCAGGCTAAGCAGCAGTACCAGCATCAGCAGCACCAGCAGCAGCAGCAGCAGCCGCAGTATCATCAGTACCAGTAAGAGGAGGCTAGCAGCTCATTCACTATACTCATAACTTCTTGAAAGTTCCATGTAGATTGCAGCGTACATAACATTATTCAGTTTACATCAATACATATATGTATCCATAACGTACGTACATACGACTTTCACTAGCTTGTAGAATACGCTTATGTTTGTGTATAGCTCAAGCGATCGAAATTATTTGCTATACTCCGTACGTTTTATGATTTTCTGATTTAGAATATTTAATTAAAATTTTATATAAAATTGCTCCAAAAGTTCTTTCTGCTATCGCTTTGATGATAAAAATGCGATTTGTAGCTCTTAAAAGTTCTTTCGTGTTATCCCGAGGGCGATAAATATGCGATATTAAGGTGATTGGCTGATATGATATGATATGTCATTTTTAGACCATATATATATGATATATATTTTTTTAGCCTAACGAAGAATTTTAAACTTTCAATACTTTTTTCCTGAGCTCCTCTGAATATGTGTCCCGAACCAATCTCGCTGCCGTACTGTCGTCCACTGACGCGCTCTGACCATTTTTAATTTTCATAGATGTTGAACTCCATGATTTGCGAGTAAACAAATTTAATTACGCATAAATCAATGTGCTAACCCTTCAGGCAATGGACAAAGACAAGATCCAAGTCTATCGACCAAATGACACACAGAGAGACATAACATACAACCCGTTGGGCCAGTTACTTGGTTGGTGCTGACAAAGGCCATCTAATGTGGAAGTTCTCACAACATGAGCCCGTGGTCACCCAAAGATGCTCGCCAGACAAAGCTTGGGCCGGTCAAACCGGTTGCGCCTCTTGGCTTGGGAACTGGAACTCACGCCACATCAATCGCAAACGCTGGCAATAGTGTCCTTTTGCAATGTCCTTGCATAAATTAGTAAGGAAGTGTGAGAACCATTGCTAGAGCAAGCGCGAGCCAAGGGTTATCACTGCAGATCAAGACGCTGATGACCTTATCGGCCGAACCGAACCGAACCGGTTCTGGACAGTCAGTCAATGAGTGACAGACCCGCATGACTACTGCCGTCTACGCAAACGCTTACCTAACCTGTGCCCCAGACTCGATCTGGTGGTATTGATCTAGGCGGTGATCCCTAGCTGGATTTGGGCAGCACATGCAACTTGGTCAGCTGTGTCGCTGCGGAAGGGCATTTAACAGACAACAACTGGACATCGGCTGGCCGCGGGGCATTTGTGTCACTTAGCCGAGCGCCGAGCGCCGAGCGCCTCGATAAATGCAAATGAGCTGCAACCCTTGAGGTCACCAGCGGCTTACAAGACAGCGCAACAGCCGATAAGCTGATCCGCTGCAGCTAGCAACCCTCTCCTGTAAGGACATTTGCATATGACCCGCATACGTCGACTGACTGACTGTCTGTCTGTTTGTCTCTGGTCTGGTCTGGTCTTGTCTTGGGCTCTGCTGTAACTAAGTAACTGCAGGACATTTCGGGTCAATGCTTAGAACCAGTTATTGGGCCAAAGGATAGCCAAGGCGGACGGATTGACCTTTTTCCGCGGGCCAGTGCTGGCGACAGCCCAGACAGACAGCACAGAAAGTCGTGTAACCGGACTGTCCACTTTTTCTTGCATAGACAGAAGAGTCTAGCCCGTGAGAAAATAAACTACGATATTCCCAGGCGCTGACCTATGATAAGTGAATATTTTCTGCTGCTTTCTTATGCAAATCTTTTGCAGGACCTTTCAAATTACACGCCAAATCATTGCCCTTAAATAAATAATACGCCAAAATTATGAAAAGTCACGATTTACTGAGCAGTTCCCAACAATGCAAAAGAGATAGAGACAGAGAGAGAGAGAGAGAGAAGAGAGAGAGAGCGAGCGGGCGAGAGTTTATGCAAAATGGGTTGAGCAGCTCAGAGTTTGCCCTGCGCCAGGTCCCAGCGATGCTCGCCATGACCACCTCGACGATCCGTCCAAATCACCTGGAAGCATACACAATTTAGTTGCCCGATTCACTTGGATTCCTTTTGGCTGTCAACACACCTCGCCCTTGTAACGATTTGTGCCGCGTTGCGTTTCAAAGCGTCGCTCCCGCTGCTTGGGATGCTCCACCACATGGCCATGACTGCGTCCGTGGGGTCCATCGAATCTCATCAGGATGTCGCTAGTTTTGGGCGAAGAGCAAATCTGAAGTTTAGCTTAGCTGCTACTCTAGAATCCTCTAGCGCTTACTGAAAATATTTGGATTCCTTTGTGGGTCGCGTTCTGGACTCTGCAGCCACCGCATCCGCTGCCTGCTTGGATGCATAGCGACGGGTGCGTTGTCCCAGTTGCTGATGCTGCAGTTGCTGCTGTTGCTGCTGTTGCTGATGCTGCAGTTGTTGTTGCTGCTGCTGCAGTTGCTGATGCTGCTGCTGGGCACGCGCGGGCACCACATGCAGCACATCGCTGGTGAACAAGGCAGGCGGCACATTGTACAGCTGATCCTCCAGATGCTGCTGCAACTGTTGTTGCTGCTGCTGCTGCCGGCTTATGGGCGGCGGAGGAGCTGCAACTGGTACGCGCTGTTGAATGGGCATATAGTTGCCCTCATAGCGATACTTGGCCAGCTCCGTTTGCGGCGCCGCAGAGCGCTGCACATACTGCACACTGGACTGTGGATAGAGTGCAGGCAAGGCAGCGGCTGGCGCTGGCGGAGCTGCCGGTGGTGCTGGTGGCTGCTGTTGCTGGTACTCCAAGGTCAGTGGCTGGTAGCTGGCACGATAGTTGATCAGCTGGAAATTGGGCGTCTGCTGTTGATAGTGTGCAGCGGGTGGCGCCACGTAGCCGCCCACATAGGGTGCGGCCACATACTCCAGACGGCGCAAACGTGGCGCCGCATCATAGTAGAGGCGCCTGTGCGGATAATAATGCTGGAGCTGGGCTGGCGTGGGCAGCAGCAGCAGCAAGAGCAGCTGGCAGCAGGTTAACAATGTGATTGTGGCGGGCAGCTCCATCTCGTGGCACGCTCGTCAAATTTGTGGCTGCATTTTGACAACAACATTGGCATTTATAGCCAGGCAGGTGGCTCGGCTTGGCTCAGCTTGGCTTGGCTTGACTTGGGGCTTGGCCCGGCTCGGTCAATGCCGGAAATTGTTGCTGCCCAGGAGTCAGCGGTGTGTGAAATCGATTGAACGCTGCCCCAGTCCCGCTCAATTGTGCAATGCTCGAGCGGTCGCGGCAGCAGCCAGCGGCCGTTACGCGGCATTATATAAACAGAGCCTCGGATGGAGGCAGATGAGACCCGTTGAGATCTGGCGGCAGCTGGCCTTAGCTATTTATCAAGGTCAGGCTAGGCTGCCTGGCAAGTTCAAAGCTTAGCTATTTAGCATACAGAAAAGTTGTTGGCACGGCCAACAGCCATCTACAGCACAAAACCCTTGCTGATTGGCTGCTGACGCTGGCTCCGGGGTTGTTCTGTGCTTTGGCTGACCTATGGCACAGAAGGGCTGTGCAACCCCGCTGTCAACAACCCTCGAAAGCCTTCCTCGCTGTGCCGCCAAGGACTGCAGCTCATTCGACTGCCGCAGTTGAAAGCCAAAGCAACAGCAAACGCCGAAGCCAAACTTCTCAGCCAAAACGAATACTTAGCACTTGGTTCCTCGACGCACTGGAAGAGCTGTAAGTGCGTAGTCTTTTTGTAGATAGCCATAAGAGAATTTATATTTAATTAATATAAGGACACGTGTGGTCAAGTTTCAACAATTCAACATTAAAAACTCCAGTTCCACTTAAGTTCTGCAGAGTAAAGGAGTGCGCGTGATATACATACGATACGATTATAATACAAAGATTGTGGCCTCTCGACGAGAAACGCCTGCTGCAACAGGTTTTCAGTGCTTTCGATACGGTATTTAATAGTCGGTCATCATCATACGAACTAATCAGCCATATTGACATTGTTCATGCGCATCTTGGCAAAGTCTTCAAACACAATATTATCATCGTCGTCCTGGTAATAGCCCTTCACGCCGCGATGCTGCTCAATCGACTTCATTTTCTTCATCGCATTCGAGCGCTTCTTCTCAATGGTGCCTAGTTCGAAATTACAATTGTTTAAAGAGCCGAACTGAAGTGCTCCTGGGTCATGGGATGCCTACCTGGTGCCGGCTGCAGCAGCTTGAAGGGCACATCCGTTTGCATCTCGCCGCCCAGGGTGCCGCAGTTCAGTTTGATGCGCACCGAATAGGAGATGACAATACCGCAGGCATCGCCCGTATTTTTGCCCTCCTGCACCATGGTCGAGGAGGCCAGGTTGACATCCTCATCCTTCAAATGGCCATCGAGTGCGATGCCTAAGGAAAACACAAGCAATTGCTTAAGTCTTTCAGCTAGTTGTCCCTGGTAACGCCTGTGCACTCACCATGACGATCCTTGTTGTTGGCTGCCAGTGGGATCAGATAGAAGGTCTTGGTCAGATTGGCGCCCGGTGTTATGGGGCAGCCCTCTTTGGTTTCCAGCTGTGCCACATGCTTGCTAAACTGCGCATTCACCATGGTGATCTCGGTGTGCTGCACAATGAAGCACTTGATGCTCTTCACCGACTTCTTCGAGTTGTTGGAGACCTGCACGGTGGCGGCTACCTTCTCGCCATGATAGTAAATCTCCCGGTCGAGTGTTACCTCCAGGCTGATCTTGCCATTGGAGAAGGTGAAGCCCTTGCTGACCAGCGAGCTGGGCAAACGCTGGCCGCGATTCAATGGAGCATACTGCAGCTTCTTGATCACCAGACTGACCATGCTGCGCTTGTGCTGACGATCGTCCTCGGAGTCAGCGACATAGGCGCGTATGGTGTACTCGACGCCCAGCGGCTTGCCCAGATCATCGCCCTCCTGCTGCAGTGTCACGGAACTGGGCGAGTTGGGTGGGAAATGGAAGGTGAACGGATGCGCATGGCTGCCCAATTTACGCACTAGCTTCTCCTGCATAGGCGTCATTTCCATGTTCGGATTGGTCATGGGCACTATTTGCTCTCGGGACAGAATGAGCTCCTTGGAGAACTTAACGCCCATGACCTCATCCTCCTCGCGGCCATAGCGATAGATGGTAGCCAGTTGGCCAAATACTTTGCGATTCTTCAGATACTCCGGCTCCACGACAATCACGCCATCGACGGGATCACAATAATCCAAGTGATCGATGAAGTCACGACGGCCCAAATAGAAGGTAACCTTGCCGTTGGGTGTTGCCTTCTTAAAGACCTTCACGGAGACAACCATCCTGCTGGATCAACTAATTCGATTCAAGTTTAAATTAGATTCGACTTATATCGCGTCCGTAGCCCGTTTGGAACGTTTGCAGTTCTTCGTTGATAGAGGAAAATGCGAAACGGAGCTTCTGTACAACCTGCTTATATACCTTTGGATGGGCAGCCGTACGTGGTTTCACTTGTGACCACTAAGTGGATTTGGCCGTTATGCAGTTGCTTGTATAAATGTCCCAGCATGTTTTGCGCAGTTTTCCCCTCCCACTTCCCATTCCATTCCGTTTGACCAAATTGGCTAATGTCAAGTAGCGTTCGCGACCTCGTGCGAGGTCGCTCGCATGTTTGTCTTTGTCCCTTTTCATTGCGTTTCTCTCGGGGATTAGCATTCGATTAGCTATTAGCACATCTAGAGCTCGGGCCACCTCATGATCGACAACTTTACGCAAAACTTTTCACGCAAGTCTAAGTGCATCGGGTTGGATTGACGTTTTTTTTTCAGGGAAGCCCTAGAAGCTAGCCAACGTGTTGCAGTAAATCAAATATCAATATATTGATTTTATGTTGACTTTTGACGTTGCTTAAAGGTGTGTTGATATGTATCTACATAATTATGTGCAGTTCTCGAAGAAGGTAGCGCAACAAGAACGAGCCGGGCTCTAGCCTCTGGATTTAGCATGGAGAGCTATCTTGTGCTCCACATAACAATTGATATTATACATAAATATTTGAAAATGTGTTTAAAATCCATTGACCTAAGAAACAAAAGTGGGAAATAATGTTTCCGACCATTTTAATTACGCGGTGTAAAGCTTGAGGCCGAAAAATCAGTCAACCTTTAATTCTCTTCTGGGTGGATTTTGCGAAAGGTGTGAAAAAGCTCTCTAATGTATTTTCAGAAAGATAGTTTGAAGTGAGTACGAGAATATCGAATGGTAAACAAAAAAGTTGCATTCGAAATGTGTTACGCGCTTTTTCCACACTTGCAGGTGGAATTGCCATAAGGTAACTAGAGTAAGCGTCAGGAGTCAGGAGAAATTCTATATACCTTTCACTAATAATACATTTCTATATCTTCTATATTCCAGCAAAGCAATGCAAACACAGACGCACACCACACCCGATCGTCATGGCTATAGCCTGCGCTTCTCGCCCTTCGAGGCGAATCATATGCTGCTGGCAACTAGGTTAGTTTACAATCAGCTCCCAACTCCGGAATATATATCAAACCGATTAAATAAATTTGCAGCCAATTGTACGGTCTTGCTGGTGGCGGTTCGCTCTTTTTGCTTGCCCAGAGCTCGACAGCGGACGCCAAGATCGGCGTCCAGTCACAGCAGCAGCTCACAGAGCTGTGCCGTCTGGAGTGGTCCGATGGGCTGTTTGATGTCGCCTGGTGTCCATATGCCGCGGATATAGCGGCCACCGCCTCTGGCGATGGTTCGCTGCAGATCTGGTCCGGCTTGGATGTCGAATCGGCGGTGACAGAGCAAACACCCAAGGAGCCATTGATTTGCCTGCAGGAACACAAGAACGAGATCTACAGTTTGGATTGGGGCGAGAAGTGGAACTATCACACTTTGCTCTCGGCCAGTTGGGACTGTACACTCAAGCTGTGGGATTGCAACAGGCAGAACTCCATCACGACGTTTGTGGGACACAATGATTTGATATATTGCGCAAAGTATTCGCCATTGATCGCGAATCTCTTTGCCAGCGTAAGTACCGATGGGCATTTAAACTTATGGAATTCTCTTGATTTTCCAGGTAAACCCCTTATGAGCATCGAGGCGCATGCCAGCGAGGTCCTCTCCTGTGACTGGAGCCACTTTGATCGCAATGTGCTGCTAACGGGCGGATCGGATGGTCTGATACGTGGTTGGGACTTGCGCAAGATGCGCACACACATCTTCGAGCTGTACTCGGGCGAGTTTGCGGTCAGACGTTTGGCCTGTTCCCCGCACTCGGCGACGGTGCTTGCATCGGCCAATTATGATTTTACAACGCGGTAAGTGGATTGAACTAGCAAGCGAGAGGTCGCCGGTTCAAATGCACCAGCAATACCATTTCCCATTTCACCTATATCAACTATAGCTATTTCTTTCTGTCTTCCACAGCATTTGGGATCTGGGGCGAGGCGAATCTCCGCAGGAGATTAATGCCCAACACACGGAATTTGTTTGCGGCCTGGACTGGAATCCTCAACGTGCACACGAGCTGGCCGATTGCGGCTGGGATTCGTTGGTCAATGTCTATACGCCGCAGTGCCTGGCTTAGACACTAGCCACAATAGCTTCATATGCTTTAACGCTGGCCTTACCCCCAAAACTGGATAACTGGAACCGCGCATCTAGACTCTGGAACTGGTACTCCAAAAACCGAAACCGAAATGTGATAAGGTGCACGTGGCACCAAAATAGCCTACAAAAAGGTAGACAACTGAACGATAGCTGAGCTATGCAACCTCTAAGGAAACGATGACCTGTAAATTGTTGTGATATATGATCGAAGAGTGAAAGAGAGGGAGAGAATACCCAAGTGAAACGAATCCCAATTTTGCAGGTGCTTGAAATGTCAATAAAAAAGAAAAAGCTAACAGATTATATGATTATAAGAGCAGAGATCGCAACTGTTATATTTTGTTTAACTATCAGCGCTGCGGGCTATAATTTATATGTATAAATATTATCATTTTTTTGGCTCGTTCGAGTTCTTAACAAGAACTTAACGGCACTCGCTTAGGTGCCAAAAAGTCAGCAGACGTTGAAGTAGTCAGTCCCTTATCCGGTTGGATACGCATCCAATCGTAAGCCAAACAAACACGCAATAAAGCGCTAATTTGGTGCAACGTTTTATTGCCTGCCTGAATGCCTGGCTGCCTGGCTGAATGAATGCCTGGCTGCCTGCCTGTCAGAGCCTTCGAGCCAACTGACATTCCCAGAATTGACACAGCCAACAAGCTGTGGCCAAAAGGTGTGCCACATCACAGCTCTGCTGATGGTGTGAAAAGGTGCCCGCAGCCCCATGTATGTCTGCTGTCGAGGATCACGGTGCTCATCCTGTCATTAGGCTTTGAGCCCACAGCTTCGGGCAAATATTTGTTTTGATGCCAATTTGCGCTGATTTCTTTGGACAGCCAACCCATCACTCTCAACAGCCAGGATACCAGACCCAACCCGGCCCAGCTGCTGCCACTGTAATTATATGTGTGTGCGAGTCAAGTGAAAATAAAGCAGATATTAATGCTTGTTTGTGTTAATAAAAATCGAGAGACGAAATTCTTATAATTTGATACCCAGAAAACGTGAGACGATAAGCTGCGAAATGTTTGCCCTGTTTGTTCAGTTAATAAGCGCGCAGCATTTCAAATATATTTTTCAAATCAACGTTAATTGCTCGCATAACATAGCAAACAGCTTTCGGTTGGCAGCCAGCAAGGCTGCCAGACAGCCTAGCCGTGCGTGCGCGTATCGCATAGCAGTCAGCTTGTGCTGCACAGCAATAAGTGTTGTATAAGACTTAAAAATGAAGTGCGCGCTGTTTTCAAATGTGAGACAAGCATATATGCATTATAGTTTACTTTGTTGTGTGTTAATTTTAGAACGTATATTTAATTTAAATTAATGTTTAGGATAAATCATAGCTGGGCAAATTATATTCGCCTGCTTAATAATGAAATACGGCTATAATTTGTGCCGGGCGCAATTTTCTTTAAATTACCCGCAGCAATTTTGCACTAATTCCGTGCAACAAACTATAAATTAACACCGCACAAAGTTGCAAACGTGCTGCGGCCGCAACATAGTTGCAGCCTAGACGTAACCTTGACTTCTTTTTGCTGCCTGTGGCGCGCTGTTGTTGTTGTTGTTGTTGTTGTCGGTATCCATGGGCAGGCAGCTCTTGTTATAAATAACAGACGAATGCCAAATTTTTCAACACCCCGCACGCGAGTGACAGCCTCTGTGGCTCTCTACCTCTCTCTCTCTCTCTCTCTTTCTCCTTCTCACTGTCTCTTGCTCCGACTCGAGCAGCAGGTTCTGGTCTTGGATTTGGACGCTGCACGCGCCGCGCTGCGCTGCCTCAGCTCCAACTGCAGCTTCAGCAATTTAAATTGCCTCCACGAGCATTTTGATGGCGATCACGCGCCCCTTTGAAATCTGGGTACTCAATCTGCGACGGCTGCTTCGTGCGGGGCCATAAAGGATCACGGCTTTGGTCAGTTATTTTTTTTACGACTGCCTGCCTTGGTATTAATTTTGCTTTAACGTTTTGTTGTTCTTGTTTTCTGTTTTTTTTTTTTTTGTGCCTCGGCCCGGCTTCACTTTAATCGTCACTTTCGTGCCGACAAGCACAAGCGCTAAGATCGTGAGTCTGTGTGCGTCATGTGCCGTGTCCAGTCTCTGGTGGTCACCGAACACGTGTAACTCCTGCTGCTGCTGGTGCTGCCGCAGAGTAGTTGCTGCACCCCCCAAAGCGTTGCACAGCTGGTCGCTGTCTGAGGCATCACAGAGGACACACCGCAACCGACGACGCCTAACTAGATGCCAACGAAATGATCGTTTGGTTACACAGATTTTCCACAGCCGGAGCGTGGGCGTGAACCGAAGGCAATCTTGATAAGCAGGCATTTCGTTTGAAAGGCAAAAAACTAAAATAACAAACGCCGGAAATAATTGTCAAGGGCCGGCTACGGAGCTACTAGACGAGCTACCTGTCTTGCATTTGAACTAATGAACCCGCTTTCTATTCTTTTTTTTTTTTTTTTGTTCGTGTCCTGGCAATTAAAATGTGTGGAGCTGTCCGGATGTTGCTACCGTTAGAGAGCGCAAGGGTGTGAATTTGTTCACCTGCGTGAAACTTTTTGCAAATGCGACAGGAAACTGTCCTGAGGTGTTGAATGCTTTTAGCCGCGATCGTGGCATAATCATTATGAATGTGCCCAGGAGAGACGATTTACCTAAACATGCTGAAAGCGCACACGCTCCGCGACCGGGACACGGCCGATCCTGCAGACCTGAATTCCTGTCTGGCCATTGTTCTCGCTCCGCTCTCGCTTATGATATAATTTTGCGTAAGGTCAACGACGAGCTACTTGGAAACCCAATAACCAAAAACCCAAGCACGGAACGCAATGTTATGCAATAGCTGTGACGGTGGCTCGCCAGAATCATAAAAATGCCCGAGCACAGGCAGGCAGCCAGTCAGCCAGATCCCAGAGATCTAGGTCCCTAATCTAGAGTGGCCATAAAAATCGCTCTGCACCAGTTTCTGCATTTCAGGGCCATTGGATCAGTTTCTATTTACCTAAAGTGAAAAAAATAAGAAGTTTTTATGCTCTTGTCTTGCGACAGACACATGAGGAAAATCCTTATCAAGATGGAAGTATAAACTATTATATCTTTATAAGGCGGACAAAATTGAAGTACTTGTATGAAAAACATGTTTTGTTTTTAGTGATATCTTAACCAAGCGCGGTATTTGATATTTTCTCTTTATAATATATAGAGATAGAATAGGTTGAAAAATTAGTTTTGATTTGAAAGACTTTTTTGATTTGTCCGAATATCTTGAACAAACTCAGCCTTTTGTTGTGCATAGAGTTAAAAACTAACAGCTGGAAAGAAGGGTATAGCTACAATGGATTGTAGCTTGTATGGTATTTACTTAGAGGGTTGAAATGATGGGATATTTACCAAAAAAGGGATTGAGTACATAACATTGGAGGAATGATACGCCTCGTTGTTAGTTCGCAGAGGTGTAGCCTTTGGAGGCGTCTCTCTGTGTTGGGGGACCCTGGCGAACATCTTCGAATGCCGCAGAGGCTTGTTGGCAAACTACTACTATACTACAGGTCTTATTTATCTCTTTTAACTCAATCTTTCCCAAACGTGCCCACAAATCTATAGCAAAGGTCTACTACTACACTATATTATATTATATCATAAGGGTCCATGGATGGCCGCCCACCTAAGCTCAGCCTTTAGACTGATTCACTCGCCAAACATGTCTTCGAAACTAAATCAAATCGTTTTACTATACTATAGTTTGTCTATATTATGTAATTCCTATCGATCTGTAGCAATTCTCAGCCATTTGTCGACAAGTGTATTTAAGCTGCGGCGTGTCGCAGCTAGCTCTTCCTTCTACCTTGTTATTTATTTGTTTTTCAACTCAACTGTGCCAGGCAAATTTCGACAAAAAAAAAAATACATTAATATATATTTTAAAGATGAATAAAAGAACTTGTTGTTCAATCAATTTTATTTACAACAGCTGAGAAATCCTGCTACATTATTATGAACAGCGCTCTCTAAAAGGCTGTCGAGTGATATTGAGAGGGCGTTTGCGCTAAATGTAGAAAAAAAATAAGAAGAAAAATCAGTATTTACAGAATTTTCGAGTTCTTAATGTTATTCAAGCCACAAACAATTTCAAGTTTTCCTTAAAAACTTGATTCAATTATTCAATGGATGTTTTGTAATTAAAGGAAATGAATTCATTTCGTGTGTGTATTTTGCCACCCGCTGTGACAATCGCTTGCAGTCAATTTATTCACAACCCCCACAGCCAAAATGATTTGGTTGGTTGCTTCGTTTATTTGGTATGCGCATATTTTGTTGGCATTTATGGCCGCACAATAATTGAGGGTGAAGGACGCGTGCTCCAAGCACCACAAACAACAACAACAACAACAAGGTCGTCTCGCAGCCATTTATAAATAATTCCATGCGATTTTTCGTATAAATAATTTGTTGGAAAAATAAAACTGTCCGTCGTTCAGCAACGTCCCACCGCTTGTTGTTGTTCGATCTGATGACCAAAATACTTTAGCGGCTCGTCTCATGGCTAAAAATAGTTTGGCAGCAATCGCCCCCACACCGTGTGAGGCAACCAGTACCCAGCCCAGACCAGCCCCCCGTCCCAGGTCCCACACCCGAGTCCCAGTCCCACCCCCAGCTGAAATCATTTCTCTGACTGACGTGCGCCGATGACGCGCTTTGCCCCAAAACTGATTCTAAACAGCAACCCGAGGGAGAGGGAGGGAGAGATCTCCAGCACCAGGTGATGACGATCGGACCAGGCCAGCTAAAATTGGCAATTAAACAGAGGCGCAAATAATCCAGTAAATAAAACAATTGCTGGCCCCAAAAAGTTCGCATCTCTGGGCCCAGACAATGCCAAAAAGGCGTCAGCAGACAAACGAACACACAAATTCGTATTTCAAATATGATCTCGCGCTGCCCACATGCTTCTACCTACACATATATGATGTATATAGCGATAAGTACGAAGAAACTTGGGCAATTTGATGTACATCGGCACGGGCAGACCCTTTCCAGATATGTTGTTCTTTAATATATATTCAAATCCTTAATGTAGACATTAACAAGTGTCACTTTATGCACTTAAAAAAATACAAACTTAACCGATATTTGAAAAATTACCCCAAAAATGTTTACAAATAGAAGAGCAATATTTTTGAGCAATCAATTGAAGAATATTTTTGCTTAACTAATTTTTTTTTAGATATAAAATATGTTAAATTGTTTA